TTTCTGAACAGGAGAAAAACTATCTGACTAACTTGAGTCAGCTTTTTAATAAACTTCTCAGGAATTGATTTCTGGACTTCTCACAGCCATAAATATTTGTAAAACAAGAGGAATACGAGAACATCTTTGGAGTTAAACTTCTAACTGGCATGCCTATAATTAGAAGTATCTCAAGCAAAATTTATTTCTGAAAATATTTTTTTGAGGTTTTATAATCAGTTTTGAAATAAAACTATGCAGGAAATCTGAGCAGAGAGAATAAAACCAGGAATTAAACCTGGATCCAGTATTACATGACCTTAGTCTCTCAAGAGGGTACTGGCAGTTAGTAAGGCTCCATTAAATGCTGTCAGGCGAGTGTGTGGTTAAGCGCTTTCCTAATGGGGTTCCTAGAAATTTGAAGCATTTCAAACTGTAAATATTTTTGAACTGATATAAGGCTTGACACACCTGAGAATGGTTAAACAACTATACAGAGACATTTACAGTGTTTAGAATCTGCAGGACTTAGTCTAGACAAAAGGTGTTGATGACTTATATCGGTGTATGACTTATATGACTGACTTATATCAGTGTAAAACATGCCAAATATTAATATTACGTAATTTTTGTTTTTCTGTGCTTAGATTTTTTTTCCACCCTCCCAGTTATCTCACATGGATTTTGGGTGGGAGTTTTTATCATATGTTCTAGCTGATATTTTGAAACAAATGGTTGATACTTTTCCAGGGCAAAGAGAAAGGATGAAGTTTACTTGCAGGAAAGATGTGCAAGGATGAAAGCAAGCTGGAGTCTGAAGGGAGTAAGAGACAGTACAGAGGTCAGGAATTAGCATCTTCCTTATGGCCACATGCCTTAAGCTTTGTGTCATGCCTGGTGCAGTCTGTTCTGGTAACAGTACAGCACAAGCTTTCTTATCCAACCATCTCTTCTCCTTGGGGTTTGATCCAATATGGAATCTAGGCAAAAGCAATCATCTGTCTCCTAAACTTTGAGGAGATGTTTTTGCATAGAAACTTTCTTTGAAAACCTCCTAGTATGTGGCAAAGTAGATTTCTCAGTCTTGTGGGCACAGATTGCTGGGACCGGGATTCAGATAATTCATTTGGGCAGTGGTTGTGTGTAAAGTGTTTTGAGGGCTGCAGAAGAACAGGCTAAAGCAGGAATAAGCTGAGTCTGTGACTCCCCTTAGGATGCGCCTGTGTGCTGTGAGTCACCGACTGAGTGTGTGAGACAAGAGCTATTTTGGCATAAACTGTTTATTCTCATCCAGAACATGAATCACCTGCTTCTGAGTGTATCTTCTTTTTTGTTAATTTGTATTAAATAAACAGATTTCAGAGGCTTCAATACATCCAAATATGTGGGCTTAACTGGCACAGTGGAGGACCTTTCAAGCAAAGGAAACTCACTCACCTGTTGGGGCTGGTATTTTTTTATACTTTTCCCAGAAACATGTCTGAGTAATCAGAGCAATGCCAGAAACACTGTCCTGCTGCAAACTTATTCTCAGGAGTATCGCCAGGTAAAAACACTAACGCAGTCCAAATTGCCAAGAGATCTTTATTTGCATTTTACTTTTGTTAGTCTTTTTACTTTGTCAACTTCTACCTTTGGAGGAAGAAGGTCTTGTTAAGTTAAAATCTGGAAAAGGAGGAAGAAGTTGATCAGATGTGCTGTGTCTGGAAACACTGCACTTGGGCCAGAAGTTGTCCTGGTGACAGACAAGCTCCAGTTTGTAGTTTTCTCTTTAACATAGCTGGTATAAAAACTGTGGAGGCTGAGCAGATTTGTGGGAGTGTAGAGGTGCAGTCTGGATGAGAGCTGGCAGAAGACAATGAGAGCCTTCAAATTCCTTGTTTCCTTATGGATGGTGCCATGGATATCTTTATGAAGCTTCTTGTGAGATATAATATGTCTTAAAACCACAATTAGTTCATTTGAACTTCTTTCTTTCTTGTTCTTGGCAGGCTTGGGGGGGCTAATCTGTTTAGATGTGATCATTTAATTTTTTTGTTTTCCTTTTATACGTATAAAGAGAGGATGTGATATGTAATTCACCGGTTTTGATATAGATCATAGCAGAAAATAAAAGCAATGGGAGTCACATTTGGTGTATCAATAGTCCTCTTCTTGACATTGACATGTATTTGATGCACTGTATGCAGGTATTTCAGATGGTGAATTCCTGTTGTCACACCTTTTTCTTTGATTCTCACTGGGCATTTGAGACTTCAGACTCTTTTCCAGCTCTTGTTAGTAGAAGTTATGTTAGTGTCAACATGAGCTCAAGTGGCTAGCCAGATTTTGGCTAGCCAGACTTTGGCTATCAATCACCTTGGTTCTGAGACAAATAGTTCACAAGGCAAGACAAATACCTACGGTTTGTACCATAAATCTGTTAGGGAAGGAAAAAAAAGATGGAAGAGCTGGCTGGGCTGGGTGATCCCAGTCTGAAATCGGTAATCCTGTAGGAGCTTTTCCCATGGCTCCTTGGCTCATTCCATTGATCTGACATCTGAGACAGCAGAGGAAAAGACAGTATCAAGTCCAAATGTGCAGTATCAGCACCTGGGCCTCATTGTCAAAGGCTGTGTCAAGTTACCTTCTGAGGTAGGTGGTCTAGTGGACAGGGTATCCACCACTGAACTCCAGTAGCTTGTGACCAAAGGCTTAAATACTGCAATCAGGCAGACTCCTTTCCCACTTTACAATTAAATGGGGAAAAATCACCTAAAAAGTAATTTTCTTGACATTTTTCATTGCATCAAGTTTGGCCTTAACTTGAGTATTTCCTGAAGCTGATGACTTTGACACCTTTGTCACTTGGATTTTAAAATACTCTGATTCATATTTCTAGTCCAGCACATAACATCATTATCTCTGAAGAAAAGACAGTATGTAACTGACTGCACCTTTCATTCAGTGATCAACTGAACTGAATTTCTGTTTGTGACCAAAGGTGCTGTTGAGATACACAGCACCTTTGATCATGCTATTGAGATACACAGATTGCTCTTGCTTCATCATGAAGGCCTGGCACTTGAGTATTTTCCAATAAAACAGTGCCTGTGGAACTGACCTGTGATTTCAGTCCCACAGAAGTTGATTTCTTGACTTATTTGTCACAACTCTGTCCTTCTACCTCCTCTCTTTTAAGAATGTGTTTGGGAAAGATTCTGGAAGATAATTCTTATAGCTTCTTTTCATTTGCTAAACAAAATACAAACTTTTATTTGTCCTTTTTTGCCTTTTTGTCCTGATATCCACCTATCTGTATTTAAATATAGAAGGCATTAGTAGTTACTCTGTAGTGTTATTTAATCCTTTGTTGGGTCAAGTGCCTTTTTTTTCCTTCTGGTGTCTTTTGAAGATATCTTTGTTGTGAAGTAGTGAGAATATTAAATTGTGCATATTTTTCATACTAAATATATTTGAACTTTTTGCAGGATAGAAAGTATATGATGTGTTTTACAATCTAGTATAATTACTGTTGTAAGCTTTAGTAACTGGAACTAATCATTAAGTGGTTTGTTGTTGCAGCTGGTTGATAAGTTTTAATTCATGTCATTAAAATCTTCCTCCTATTTCTTATTTCTCTGACTGACCTGATTTTCCCATGATATGACTAAGGAAAACAGGGTGGTGCTACAATGCAAGCCAGTTATTTGTTTTTGTATAAAAAAAATTTCTAGAGAGAAAGAGGTCAGGGAGAGAATCACTACAGTTCTTAAAATGACCTGATGTTACTGCATGATGTCCAGTAATTAGTTTTTCTATCATTAATAGCTTTTGCACATGTGTAAGTAGGACTGTTTGTCTTGAAGCTTTTTTTTTGTTTTCTCAAAATATTCAAATTATTAATCATTAGGACTTAACTAAGATTATAAAAATCACTGGCAGAAAGTCGTCTATATTTAGGGAATAAATAATTTTAATTAACAGGTATAGATTTATCATTAATAATACTCTGATGGGATATCAACTTCAATCAGTTCTCCTATTTCCTGAAATTTGACACTCCTTGAAGGATGGAAAAGCTTCTGAGAAACCTATCTTTTTCTTAAATTTCAGATTTAAATTTCAGAACAGCAGGTTTTAAAAGATTTGAAGTATGAATTCTGAATTTGTTTGCAGAAAGTGAGATGTTTCTTAATTTACTCAAAGTAGTAGCTTTCTTTTGTATTATGTATCAAAATAGTTTTGCAGTAGAAATGTGAGGATTGGCTGCACATGATGGGAAAAACAAAGAGAAGTGGGAAAGGAAAAAGACAGGATAACTTTTAAATGAGACAAGCTTAAATATTCAGACACATAGAAGTATTATTGGAAACAGACTTTTGGACCAATTTCATTTTGCAACCACACATATGCTTTTCCATCATCCTCGTATTTTAGGAGAGTGGGTGGAAAATAAGCATATTAGTCTTAAATGCAAAGAATAGGACTATGTCTTTATCACATATTATACACTCATCTATGTCCCCCACAGTGAGGCGTTTTTTGGGGGTTTTTTGCTTGTTGGGTGAGGGTGAGGTGTTTGGGGTTTTTTGTTGTTTGTTTGTTTGGGGGTTTTTGTGATTTTGGTTGGGTTTTTTGTTTGTTTGTTTGTTGGAGTTTTTTTGTAAAAACAGTGTGGCAGTTAGGTAGATTTAAAAAAGGTAGACTTAAAAAACTTGGGGAAGATTATTTTGTATTAAGTGTCTGCTTTAAAAGATATCACTTACATAAAATCTCATGTATATTTACTGTGGAAAACCATGCAAGTCTGTTGTATGGGTTTCTTATTTATGGGAAAAATCCTGCTTACTATTGCTTTCAATAATTGAAGCACTTCTCCTACTATCTTAAGTTCCACTTAAGAATTCAACCCTAAAAATAATGGAATCAACAAAAGTGGTTTAATAGTGAGGCATATCTTGGCACCTGTTACTTCTTTTAATTTAAGTTAGCTGTGATATTTAGTCAAATATTTCACTTGGGAATGCTTTGTTTTTCAGGATGGGAAGAAGAAGTTTGACAAGGAAAGTGAGAAATACTACTCCATCTTAGAGAAGCACTTAAATTTGTCAGCCAAGAAAAAAGAATCTCATTTGCAAGATGTAAGAACTGAATACACTCTTACCTAATTTCACATTTGCATAGAAATCATGATAACAAACTGGTTCTCTTCAAGACATGCTGTATTTTATTTAATATGAAATTGTGATGGTTTCTTGTCATGCTTGTTGTGGGTATAAATTCTTGACTGGAATGAATATGAGCCAAATAGGAGTTAAATATCTGAACAAAGCAATATTCTGTGTTTGCAACTTTATGTATTTCAAGTACAGCTAATGTTTATTGCTTGCAACAATGGAATTACATTAGTACAATAAAAGTGTGAGTTTTATAAGCTATATGTGGAATACTGGAAAGCAAATTAATTAATTGCTTTAAGTTTGCTAGTTAATCTATTAACTGATGAAATTGCACTTCTATTTCACATAAATTCTAATCCAGAAGACTGGACTGAAATCACTTTAATGATGCTCTTTTCTCCTTCTTTTTTGCTCTTTTTCATCTTATTCTGAGATTGAGGCTCCTGAAATTTCCTTGAAATTGTATCTGTAACTTCAGCTTTGAAGCATCTGTATGGCTAATTGTTTTCTGTTAAAAAAAAAAAAAAGCCATGAAGACTTTTGGTTTAACAGGAGGATTCCAGGGCTTTTTAGTATCCTGATAGAAATTAATATAACTTGTCTTTGAAGCAAATTACACTAAACCCAGCAATATGATACCAATGACACTTTGGGAATTGTGCCAAAAGTAGTTAAAAATCATTTTGATGGGACTGCTGTTGTCATGGTGAATCTTAAATCATGGGAATTAGTTTGCACATGGAATTTTCACCAAAGGTGTGACCATCACTTAATCATATGTCGTAGGATTTCTTTTTTCATGTTTACCAATAATATTATAAGTCAAATAAAATAAGGTTTAGAAATTAAACATTTCTAGTAATGTCTATATGGCTGAATTGCTGTTGCTGTCTGTATAATAATCAGTCTAAATAAAAAATTAGTTATGTAGGATTGGTTTATTGTTCCACTTGTATGTCATGGCTTTCACTTTTCCCAAATATCTTATGTATTGATGAAGAAGCCATTCTATTAGAGGCTAAGGCCCAGCTTAAAAAAAAAAATTCTTACCAAATTGGGGAAAAGTGAACTTAAACACTAATTTGTTCTAGAATAGAAGCTAAATAAAATAAATAAAATATTTTACTCTTGAGACATGAGAATAGTTACAGTCTAAAAGCAGCAACTGAAGTGCAAAGTAACAACTATGAATCTAGTAAACTATGGTAGAATAACAGTGGATTTGGCTCACATCTATAAACTGATGGAAAACCGGAATAATTTTTTCCAGTGTGTCCTTAAGTGACATATCTGGATTTAAAATCTTGTAACTGAGGCTGAGGTTTTCTGATTTCTAGATGCCTCCCTTGTAAAGGATAAAGGGCACAGCTTGGCATTTCTGGCTTCCCCAGTTTTGTACCACTGTAGATGTGCTGAATCAGCAACATAGACCCACTGTAAGAGAAGACACAATAGCAGATCAGTACCAAAACTGTTAACCTGGGAGGCTTTTGGCCTGTGTCTGTATTAGAAGTAAAAGGAGACCGAGCTCCATTCCTGACCTGAAATCCAAGACAGCTGTTGGTTTGCATCCCAGTGGTTTGGGTGAGCCCCATTTATAGCCCATATATCCAGAGTGGAGTTGTTGGAGCAGCCCACAGCAGAGCAGGGCACGAGCAAAGAACCAAGCAGTGCTGGCAGCTCAGCTGGGGCTTTGGTACCCAGGGCAGGAGATGGGAAGTCCATGCCTCAAGCCAATGTGATGTATTCAGGGAGGTGAAAACACACTTTTTTGACTGCTACATGGGAAAAATACTGTTTCCTTGAATTGATGAGGTTTCTTGATACCTCATCACATTATGTAGGTTAAAGAGTACTGCAGTGAGCAATGATCTTGTACTCTGTTGGGTTCTTCTACATATCTCACTTGAGTGCAATTGAGACCACCTTAATTAGGTATCTGAAGTCTTATGGTTGAAACATATTCTGTAGAGAGTAGTTTGCATATATTCACCTAACTGAAATATGTTGGATATTTTAAGAGCCTTCAAGACTGCTGAAGCAGTTTGCACAAGTGACTGGCTTTTTTCCTTTTAGCATCAAAAGGAAACTTCATAGTAGCATCTTTTCACTGCCTACAGAAGCCTACAGTAAAGAAGAAAATGGGCAGAATTGAGTAATGTGAGAAATCTAATGAACTTCTGATTTTATTTCTCTGAATTCTGTTCCAGAAACAGACTCCAGGTTTATGTGAAGTTCTGGTATATGTATTGAGATGATAGCTTACATCAATGAAAATATTACTCACTATAACTATGTATCATACAGATAGAGACTCAAAGTCATATCCATCTGATCTCTTTATTTTTTACATGCAGTTTGATGTCACAGAAAAACATGAAAATACTTTTAGCTTTTGAAACATTAAGATCACTTTCGATGCAATTCTTACAAATCTGAATCCTTTGGTGTTAACACAAATTCATAAGCTTCTATAGAATATAAGCGTGGGGAATTCTGATTTAGTCCCTTTCAGTGATGGTTATTATGTCCCTAAAACATATTTGAGATGGCACTTGGTTGTTGTAAGTATCATTAGAACTGCAACCTGCTTAAATGCTGTTCAGAGTAGGGATGGATTTAATTAGGTGTTTAAATAGTTTTTCTGAGGCAAAGCCACAAAGAGACAATTTCTAAAACTATGTTTCATTGTTTACGTATAATTAAATGAGAGAGCTGAGATCTGTTTCAACTGCTTATTTATGGCATTTGTGTGAGCAAGGCATTGCTGAATCACATCCCAAAGTGGTGGCAACTGCTTCTCTTCAGCTATGTAGCACTGTCTTTGTGATAGATCATTATTGTGAAATAAAGCTATTAACAGACTATCAGGGAAAACACACTACATGAATGGCAAATGTCAGAGTTATTTTGAGGTAGAGCAGTTCATTATTTTGAGTGCTTGTTTTCAGCTTCATATTATTAGTTTACTGATTTTTTTTAATAGACATAGGAAGGAAATGCTGGTAGTGAATGATTTGAAACATATCCTTGAGGCCCATGTGTTGAAGTTGAGTTAGAACTCTGGGCTAGGGAGGTGGATCAATATTGTTAAAAGCCTGTATAGCCAAATCACAATAGTAGCTTGTCCTTGAGCAGAGAAGCAATCTTAATTATATATGGTGTTATTGATGGCCAAATCCTGCCTGAAGGAAAACACTGACTTTTTGCTTTTTTACTGTTAAAAGTACTAAATCTCTTTTATGTGTTTGCTGGTTTATAGTTTGTTGTCAAGGGAAGACAACATCAAGCTTTCCCAATTTCCCTGCATTTGTTAATTTTAATGCCAGAATTAAACTAGAGAACGTGTACAAATATCCTTCTGTATTTTAACTGGCAAGTATCAAAAAGAGGTGATCTTATTCATGTTATTAATCTGCTGTATTTTGACCAAAGAGCAAAGTCTAACTAATACAGCCCAAAAGGGATTTGCATGAGAAAATTATTTGTTATGAGGAAGAATGAATTAAATGGAATCTGCGCGTCTTCTTTAAACATTATCTACGTGCTACACTGCTTGTCTGTTAGTTCCCTCTCTTGTGGCTTGTTTAAATTGAGGATAAAAGCCTATTACTGTTTATCAGCTGATAAGAGTTAATTCATTAGCTGTTTAGGCAGAAGACACTGTTCTGATATTGGGTCTCCATGTTGGGTGGTATTAGGCCTTTCTGACAAGTATTGCCTTGTCGTTCTGTCACTTGGAAATTAAAACTTTAAATATATTTGATTTATGAGGTTAGGGATTTAAATATGTTTACATTCCAAGAAAGTATGACTCATACTATAAAATAATAAGTTGCAAGATGTCATTGTTAAAGACAGCCTATTTAAGAAAGAAAATATATTTTTGTGAAGGTATTTGAACCTGAGAAATAGATACAATTTCAGGGCATATGATACTTAAATATTTCAATAGAAATAATTGTCTTTTTGTCTGTCCTTGATTCCTACAGTGTTCATTTCTATTTCCTTTTCTAAACTTCCATATACCAAGTACCTGCTGCCACCTTTCTTTCCCTCCAGGCTCTCCTAAAAACTAGAATATTAAAGAGCAAAAAGAAAGAAGAAACCAAAAAAGAGCAAGTAAAAGGCATAGGCTGAAATGTGTAATGTTAGCTTCTTAAATGTGCATTTAGCTTTTTTAAGTAGGTGTTCTAATTTTCAGACAGAAAACTGAACTCTACGAAACTTATAAAATAATCTTATGGAAGATCTGTTTGTTAATGACATAACGTGTTTTTAAAGCAATAACAAGACTAAACTAATGTTTAGTCTCTATTTAATTTTGTCTTTTAGGCAGATACACAGATTGACAGAGAACATCAGAACTTTTATGAAGCATCATTGGAATATGTTTTTAAAATCCAAGAAGTACAAGAGAAAAAGAAATTTGAATTTGTAGAACCTGTAAGTTTTATCATTTATTTTCTTTAGAATGCATGCATTTAAAGCTGAAAATTGAATTTAAAATCTCAGGTTTTTTGCTCTCTTTTTAAGTTTTGAATGCAGGTTCTTTGTATATAGACAGACATTAAGATCTTGGCTTGGGCACTTTCCATGTTTATTGAAGGATTATGTAAGAGTTTAGTATCTACTGTGAAGTGAAATGTCTGATGACTTGAAGTGTGTGTAACATTTTAATGGGACATCATGTAATGTTGTGTCTGTGCAACACATAATCGATGTTTCCTAATACCATGATTTAATGGCTTAAATTTTAAGTCAGTTTTTTTAATTTAAAAAATATTCTGGGTAGGTAGTATACACCAACATTGTTCTGAGTTACACGTGAAGTAAAGTGAAAAATCAATTTTTCTGTAGGATAGGTAAGTTTATCTTTTTGTTGCTAGAGTCATTTGCCTTTAGTTTGCAGATAAAGGAATACATATGTTGACATGCCATTAAAGAGTAAGATAAAATTGTGTTTCAGTGTTCATATTTAAGTCTGGGATTTGCTTCTGGACTGTGTTTCCATCCCCCACTCCTAACTCTCTACTGTATCAGTCAGTTCCAAAAGCAGCTTCATGACATGCTGGTATATTTCTGACGCCTGGTAGCAGTGTTGCTACCGTTCATGTCATACAGACAGGCCTGGCTTGCCACTTGCCTGATGCAGTCAGTACCTCTAGCCCCTGACAGAGAACTTCCAGTGCCATGTGTCCCTTCCCATTAAGCACACTGAGCACAGCAGAGCGCTGCTTGTCAGAGAGGAACACGAGGAGCGTAACTTTCTCTCCACACCATCTCCCACCTTCCTTGTTACTACTGAAGCAGCACTCTTGACTGTGAAATGGGTTGAATTATATCTCTAACACCCTGTGTCACCAAGGAGAGCGTCTCAGATGCCTTCTTTCCATGAGATGAGAGTGTATTGTATACTGAATGTTTGACATTGATGCAAACTAATGAACCTGGATTCAGCAAGGAGTACTTTCAGAAATCCTATCTTTATGGCATACAGCTGCCAAATCTTAGAGACTAAAACTTTGCTCGGATTCCTAAATAAGAACATTTTTCTACCTGTCACAGATTAATCCAGAGTGTGTGTCTCTGTCTCCTTCTGCAAAAATCTCACATCCTGGAAAAATCTAGCAATCTTGACCTAGCTCTCACCCTAGTGTAGAAGACTTTATGCTCCTTTAACGTAATAGAAACTTTCTGTATTGAAAAGACCTTGTACACTGGAAAATATTGTACAACTGCACAATAGTTAAAATAGGTAACATTTACTTTTAAGTGCATCCATTTCCATACTGTCTCAGATCAGTAGGCATTCCAGCCCAGTATGGCATACTTGATTGTCCAGGGGAAGGTACAGGAAATACTCTGGTGACTGGGTAATGATAGGCCTTGAAGGTAATGTCTTCTGACTTTGGGTGTGAATTTAATTTATAATCAATATGGATATAGATGGAGATTAAATTATAACATCAGTTATAAAATTTTGAATCTTCAAAGGTCTTAATTTTTGTTTGTAGTCTGTTGCATACAACATGGTGAAATAAGAGCATTTGCTAAAGCCCATAAGGCAAAATATGCCTTATGTGAAAAAGTAAATTAAAATACAAATCAGCAATACCATGAGATTAAAAACAAAACCAATCTAAACAAAAATACCCAAAGACTTCAAAATAGACTTTCTAAAATTCATGTTTATGGAAGTGATGTTGGAAGTATGAACATGTGTTCCTAGATGAAAGGTCTACATAAGGACAAAGCCTAACACTTTAAAATCAGGTACCAAAAGAATTGTCATATTACTGATTTTCCTCTGTGTGCTCTATAAATGTGTGTATGGCAGAAGAAGCCTGGTGGTATGTCCATATGGACATTCCTCAGGAGCTCTGATGGTGGTGGGACATTCTAGTGTATGTGCTGCCTCTGCCTCTGATTCATCAGCACAGTGTCACATCTTCAAATAATTCTCAGTCTGACATCTTGCTAACGGACTCGCTGAAGGAAGTTTAACAAAATAAATCTGCTAGTGCAATGAAGGAGGAAACTGTGGTGCCCATGCAAAAGAAGGATAAGTTTGTGATGTCAGAATAGAACTTGAAAAGCAAATGGTCTGTTGAACACCCTTTCAAGACCTTTAATTTTTCTACACCAAAGGATAAAGACAGTCTGAGAGCCAGAGTGGGAGGAGAAGTGACCTAGCAAAAATTGCCAGGTGGGTTACAGGTAGGACAGTGGGAGTGTAAAAATGTAGTGTGTTCCCTCCTGGAGGAGACTTGGGAAAGATTTTAAGGTACAGATGCTAATGACTCATACAGTGAATAGAAGATTATAATATTTAGAGTAGACTTTTGCAGCTGCTTCTCAGGCCCTGGGTTTCTGTTTGTTCTCTGCATCTTGATCAAAGTGGTTGCTAATGTGTACTAGTGTGAGTAACTGGCATATTCCTATTTGCAAGCCTCCTAGATCTTGATTTTTCCAAGAAAAAAAGCCTCAGGTTTCCATACAGATAATGAATTTAAACTTTTTCTGAAGGACTTATTAGTGTTCAAATTTACATCTGGATAAACAATAAAGCAAATTAAGTGACAATCATCTGTCTTGCTAGCTTTTCTCTTGTGATCCCTAAGAAGCTAGTCCAAGCCAGCAGTGCTTTCTGAGGATGTTATGCTTGTAAAACAATGCAAACACCTTCCTAAAATTCTGCTTTGTCCTTTGGTGGTGCCAGGACTTCCTTGTCCTGTGGAAATCAGGGCACAAAGTTCATAAGCAGTAAACTATCTGAAATGTGAGGGGTGGTCAGTTAAATGTTTATTTAAAGAGAAGAAAAAAAAACCAGCCATGCACTTCCATGAGACTTCACAGTGGGCGTTAAATTTGAATTTCCCTTTCTTGCATTTTCAACATTATTAACTATGTTCACTTTAATCTGAAGAATAAGCGCTATCTTCTTATAAATAAAATGAAAACAGGGAGACAGGGACTTCTGGCTGATGTGCTGCAGGCCAAAGGTTAAATTCCTCCCCTATCCAAAACCTAAGTACAATCTTCTTCCTGTGAGAATGAAACGACCAGGCAGCCTTGAGGTCAGCAGCTCCACATAAAAATAAATAGAGTCTCAAGAAGTAGTTGGATTTTGTTTCGGGTTCTGTGTTGAAATCCTCATGGCTCTGGTGTGATGAGCAGCTTTGTATTGTGGAGTTCAGACCTCAGTCTTTACTGATGTGAATGATTAGGTACTCAGAATGAGATAACGATAAGACACTTAGTAAAATGTAAAATTATTGATATGAAAGCATCAGACATTGTTTGTGATATTTGATGAAATAAACTACCTCTTTATGTGTGAATACCACCTCAAAATACATTCTGAAAATTTTCTTTGAAAGAAAAAGAGGCTGATTTTCTATTCTTGTTTTTAATATTTTTTGTTCTATTTAATATTAATTTCTTTAAAGTTATGAGCCTGCCTTTAGCAGTGCTAATTCTAATGCCAGCAAAAAGAAAACCCCACTGTAAGTCTAAACCTAGGGCAAAAGACCTTGGCTTTTAAATCTCTTCCATACACTGCTATGCCTGTACCTGTTCTAAAGGAGGTGATTCTGAAGATGTCTCAGCAGCACAGGCCCATTGGGCAAAGGGCATATTCTGCATTCCTGTTTTTCCCTGCTAGTGACATGTACATTGAAGTGAATGCCATCCTCAGTGTCACAAATCAGCACAGAGCTTCAAAATGCTGATCTAGGACTTGCATAATACTTCTCTTTTTTTCTTATTTTTCTGAGTGCTCAGAGAGTGTTTAACCAGGAAAGCCTAAAGGCCAGATCCTCTGCAATGCACAACTGCCAGAATACCTGAGAAGTACGTTAACTAAAATTACTTCAGATTTTTGTCAGGGTTGGTTTTTTCGGTTGGACTTTTTTTTTTTTTTTTTTTTTCTGATGCTGTTGTTATTTTGCTTTCAGATAAATTCAGTTTTGCTGCCATCTTGTGTTAAATATTTTCCTTGGTATTTCTCAGTGTACTCTGTAAAATGATGTAAAACATTTTCGTTCAAGTATTGAAGCTGAAATTTGTACAGTTTATTCTCCTGAAATGTTCTTTGAACTGATCTCTAAAAGTCGGACATAAGCTGACATACTGAAACTTTGTTCCACAAAGTTTCTTTATTGTAATTTTGGTGTGCCTCAGTTTGGTGATTTGGCTGCAGTTTTGCAAAGATTGCTCCTGCACTAGGGGTTTGTTTAGCAGCAGGCTCCTGCTTGCAGGCTGTGTTAATCCATTAGTCCATTCTTAGTCTGTTCTTTTGACTTGACTAAGTCAAAGTAAGCACATGAGTAGTTGTGCTGTGACATCTGAAGGAGTTGTAGTTGGGGACACTGATGCGTAGTTGAATCTAGAGTGTGAGAACAAGCTTCACATAACAGGAGGCAAAGCAGAGCTTTAGTTATAATTTGCGTATTTTGTATTTTATTCATAAAAAAGATTAATTTTCTTTATTTTCTTTAAGTAGTTATTTCCAGAATGACAGAATTAGAATTAAAATCTATAATTACAGAAAATTATAGAGCTCTTTCTATCTGTTTGCACAATTGGCAGTTTTTAATATAAACTATTGTACTTGGACCTTCCTCAGAAACACTTGAATAATCAGTTTAATAATAATAATTTCAGGGCCTAGTCCTTAGCTGAGGTAATAATTTCGGCTGGACAGATGAATCATGTTAAGGTGAGATTGATTTACACAAGATGTGGAGCCCTTTATTTGAGATTGCATTGCCTTCATTGTTTGATGGTGGACTATGGTTCAGGAATTCGCATCCACTGTAGAGGCCTCCACAAAAACTTGCTTTTTGTGTCCAAAGATCTTCTCAGTTCTTCAGGCTCCGTGGCTGGCTTCCTGGGCAGCCGTGGGCTTGCACCATCTCTGCCTGAGGCCAGGTTTTCATCTGCTCCTGAAATACCAGTAGAAACCAAGGGCAGAGTCCTTCTCCCAGCCATACCTTGTATTTGTGCCTGCACGGATGCTCTGTTCACCTCCAACTGCTTTAACCTACTAATGCAGGAAAGGAGCAGGCAGGTAAACAGGCTCTCAGTAGTCTCATAGAGAATAATGGCAGAGAGGAGGCAGAACAATTTTGCTACAATTCTTCAAGTAGAGCTGAGAGTAAATTTAAAGAAAATATAAGCACAGTAAAAAGTACATCTTTATGCTATTCCACTTGCAGTAAGCTATGGCACTGATAACACAAAGCAAGCGCTTTAAATATGAACGATGGCATTTTTGTTGCCTGAGTCTAGACCACTTCAGTAGTCAATAAAGAGAGATAAATGTTTCCATTGGATCATTCATTCCATCCTGAGAGAGAAGTCTGAAAAAGGGAAAAGAATTATGCTCTGGAATACCTGTGGTTCTTTACTGAGTCAGAAGACAGCCTGGACAGCCAGTTAGTTAGCCCAGATGATAATGGTGTAATATACTAATGCAAATATTTTTTATTGTTAAAACTTTTGTTATTGTAAATCCAATTTTTTTTTTTTGCTGTTTTCTTTAGTTTTTTTCTTAAGCTAAATTACATAGACCAAGAAAGCAGTCCATGTTAAGAAATTAAATGCTTGTTATTTAACAGCGGATAGGGTGACTTGTAGCAATGTCAAAACGCTTTTAAAATTTAAAGCAGAATAAGTTAGAAGGTTTTTAAAACTAAGAGATGCAGGAATGCGTTAATTGAAGAGCTAAGATCTAGTGGCACTTTTTACTACTTGAACATTGTTTTAAAGCAAACTTTAGAAGAATTTTTCAGCTAGATATATGCAGAGTATGGTGGTTCTGTTGGAGTTAATCACAGACATACCAGATAGTGTTTGCTTTTTCTTCAGAGCTGGAAGAAATAGTCTGGGTTTCTTGTGTTGTGCTAACCTATCCAAAACATATTTTCTAGAGTCTCATTTGTGGAAAATAGGCTGGAGACCAAGCAATTGCTGTGAAGAAAGTGAGAGAATATTTTAAAGAAAAAACACTTGAACTCTGAAATTTTAGACTTGGAAAATGCACACCAGCAAAGACTCCAGCTGAAATACTAGATAAAATTACTAAGATAGTGAATTAAATTATTATGGAAATTACAACTTCATGACACAAAAGCATGTATAGCATTTCTCTTTCTTAAGGTCTCATCATGGATTCCTTCTCAGCAAAACTTTGCTTTTGCATGTAAAAGCATAGAGTGTTCCAGGAGTAAAAAATGTATAATGCTTCTCAATTTTACCTTTTCAGCTCTTGGCCTTTCTTCAAGGATTATTTACATTTTACCATGAAGGATATGAACTGGCTCAGGAGTTTGCACCATACAAGCAGCAACTGCAGTTCAATTTGCAGAATGTAAGAATGATTTGTATTTACATAATTTAACTTCTTAATTTGCTAATTTCACTTTAATATATTAGACATAGCACTTTATTGAAATTCATAATCTTGCAATGTTTTAGTAAGCTGAAATCAAATTCATAAACAGATACGTAAAATTATTTTCATAAGGTTAGTGTAGTTAAGATTCCTGACAACAAATTACTTTGGATAGTAAATTTGTGGTTTCCAGATCAAAACTTTGAGAGCAAGAACAAGAAAAACAGGACAGCAGCCAAGTTTCTATTAGAAAACACAGCGGTCCAGATAGATTTAAACTTATATAAATCTTTCTTGAGAATGAGGCCTGTCTTCTGGACTGAGTGGAAAAGTGCCAAAAATGCTCCAGCTGTATAGAATGATACAGTTTGTCCTGCTGTCTGCTAACTTCCCACTGTATATAAAGCAATCTTGGGAAGCTATTCTCTGTACCATTGCAGAATAGGTGGGACCCTCCTCCATGGTGAGCAGCTCTCATGAGCATTAGTTTTCACCAGAAGAAAGAATCTCTTTTTTGTGTAGAGAGTTACACTCAACTGAGCAGATGAATCTTTTCCTGTAAACTGGTCTGGATTTGGTAGTCAGAGCCATACAAGATCCCATTTTGGGCACAGACTGCCCAAAAAAATTCATAGCTATCAGAGATAACTAAAATGTATTTAAACAACATACTTTTCCACTCATCATAACTGCTTTATACAAGTGTATACTTGTTTCACTGTGTAATTCAGATATTACACTTCCAAGGATATACAAATAAGTAGGTACAAAATATACTTACAAATAAGTAAGTACACACTTTGCTTTTAAGCAAAGCTTAAACGCTCTGCTTTTAAGGCAAAAAGTGATGTCAGTACATGTCAGTACTGGACAAGCCCCACATATTTCCTGACAAGTAAAATCAAAGTCCAGAACATTGTTTTTTTTTAAAGTTAAGTCCACTTCATTCTTTCAAGAAAAGACACATACCACAAATTTTTGTAGCTCCATCTTCCCTTTTGTATCTCTTGTTCATATATATAGATCCCATTTTAAAGAACTTGAAGAAATAAGGCTAAACTTCCTAGATGACTAACCTTTTCCTTTTGGGTCAAAATGCCAGTGGTGTCTGTAAAGCATCCCAACTGCTTGTCCTTTCCAATTTTGTGTTTTCCACATTGTTTGCTACTAAGACACTTTCAGATAAAGACACGAGGGGTCAGTGTTGTTGCACAGCAGTTTTGCTGAAAGTGAAAAATGTGCTTCAGTCCAGAGATTTACTTCCTTTAATATGGCAAGTTCTGAGAGGAGCATGATCTCAGAGCACAGACCAATACTGGCATTTTAAGTAATCATACGTTTCTTGTACACGTCTCTACAGAAGCAAAATGATTAAAGGACTTTTTTCAATTTCAGTGTTATTAAGAGATAGTTATAGTTAATGTTTTCTAACTATATTGAAGGTGTAAATAGATTACAGAGGTAAAGGGAGATACGAAGTTAGACAGAAGGATCAATGTATTATATACTTTTTTAAATTATATATCAGAAAACATATACATGAAGATAGAGTGGAGATCAGAACATCACTCACTCCTGTTACACAGCAGTATAATTTCTGGCTCCAGATCTAGACCCACAGCTTCTTACAGCCAGCTGGGTTTTCTACTTGCCATTGAGAGTATCACCCAAAATCAGATGGAAGTGAAATAATTTATTCAGGTAAAGGCAAACTGAGGACAGGAAGAAGTGCATTCAGCCTGTCTGTAGCTGTTAAAAGTACTCCTCTCCATTGCATTGTGTGTTCAGGTCTTGAAGAACAGTTTACCTGAGCTACTGTTTCTATTCTTAAGAGTGTTCTACAGGTTAGAGCAGGAGCAGTAACAGCTGTAGAAGCGTAGGAGCAGACCAGCAGCTCTTAACAGGTCATCTTATTCTAACATGACCTGTTGTCACTTTAGCTGTCTCAGCTGGCCAGTGCTGTACTTGGTGTGTAGGTTTGGCTTTGGTTTCTGTGATTTGATTCAAAGACCTGGCTGCTTAAAAGTAGCAATTAAAAACTTTAATAGGTGGAGACAAGCTCTCAAAATGGAGACATTCCTTCAATGTCTTGTCCTTCTTGAAGGTCTCAAAATGACCTCTCTTAAATTTGGTCTGAACTGATACTTCTTCTGAAGGACATAATCTGAAACGTTCAGATTAGAATTTTACCTCCCTCTCTAATAATAATGTTTGTCTTCAAAACCAAGATTGAGCATGTATATTTTTATACTATTGTGCAACTAACTACACAAATGGCCCATGAAAAGGGGAAGTATTCACTGGGGTATAAAGTCCTGAGAGTATCTTTCTGACTTCTGAGGATTTGAGTCCATAGATGACTCTGTAGAAACATTACAAAAATCTTTATTGTTTTCTTTGACCTATATGAGCAGAGTGTTCAGTATCTGATATTTAATCAATCAAAACTCTGGCATCTCTCAATAGTTCTCTTCTGTTATCCCATACTAGGTGCATGGAGGGAAACCCTCACCTCAGTGATTTCACTAGGAACGAGTAGCCATTTATATGCATATAGATATAAGAAAATATGGAAACAACTCACCTTAATATCATAATTGTTTGCTTTGTTGCATGCCTGGTTACATACATGATATTTAGGACAGGCACACTTCTTCCATGCTTTTGGCATAGTTCTGCCACTCGTGAGTGTTTCTTACCTTCCTTATTTTTTTATTTTTTTTTTAATATTGAACTGTGGTGTTTGCCGAGTCAAAACTTGTTCACGGCAGTGCCAGTAACCTGACTGTTCTAAGCAGCAGCACCTGTGGTATCACTGCAGATATGGATACACAGAAAGTTTGTCTCTTCCATGTGTGTAGAAACTGCAGCTGTCTGGACTCATTAACCTGGCTTTAACCCAAACTAATGTTTTCTGCACTGAACTTAAAGTGTGTCAGTGGATCTTACTACTTCAGGTTTAGGGCTAAGCTGTTACCAGCTTCTAGTTTAGCCAAATATCTGTCTGAGAATCGTAGAGTCTACAAAGAGAAGGCCTGTATCTGTCTGCAAATTACTGTGTAAGCATACTTAAAGATATGAAATTACCTCCTGTCTGATGTTAGTGACCTGCAGAAAAAGGAATGGTGCTATTCTCAGCTATGTTTTCCTTACATTTGTGTGCCTAAGTTGAATTCTTCATTACTATGTTATTCCCAGGCTTCTAGCAGTGAAGAGTATTATTCTTTATTGCAGTTTTTTTTTTTCCTTTTACCCCTAAAGTTGAATTCTTCATTACTATGTTATTCCCAGGCTTCTAGCAGTGAAGAGTAGAAGAGTATTATTCTTTATTGCAGCTTTTTTTTTTCCTTTTACCCCCTTTTATGTCTCTGGCAAATGCTTTTGTTGGTCTCCAATACAGTCTCCTTGGCATTATTTCTAATTAGTTGTTTGTTGTTATTTTAGTACTTGCATGAGATAATGTGGCATTTTGTTTGTCTTCTTTTCTGGGTGTTAGACTCGGAATAACTTTGAAAGCACTAGGCAGGAAGTGGAGAGACTCATGCAGAGAATGAAATCAGCCAACCAAGATTACAGACCACCAAGCCAATGGACAATGGAAGGCTATCTCTATGTGCAGGAGAAACGTAAGTAAAACAAGGAAGGTCGTGCTGTTGCTTGCCCCAGTCGTTGACTGGTACCAAGCTCTGCTCTGGCTGGGTACCCTGCACCTTGCTGCAAACTCCCAGCATCCTGCTTTGGCTCCCTCTGCTTCCTGTACTTTCCCTGCCTAAACAGGACCTGTAGTTCAGCCATCAAGAGCACCTTGTACCAGAGACCGCCACTGACCCAGCCATCTTAAATGAACATGTGCTTAATGGAAATCAAAGATGTAAGAAAAGGTCATCTAAGTACCATCTTACCATAGTTAACCACAGCCAGTTTTATCCTCAGTAGCGCTGCAAGTTTTAAGAACACGGTCTATATTTTAATTGATTAATAATCATAAAAGAAATCTGTGTTAAGTGGAAATTACACTGAGCCGTGCTAATGGGGGAGGGAGAAAAGGAGTGAAGCACCAGGCACATGCTGTGCTTCATTAAATAGTGAGAGGCCAGCTTGACATCTTCTTACTGAAAAGAAATTTTTATTCTGAAGTAACAGGGTCTGTACTCACTGTGTAGCGGGAAAGGTACTAGTTGTATAATTCCTTGTCATGCAAGTTTACTTGCCTACAGCCCTTATCCTATAGGTTCTTGTCAAATTGTGAGCAACTGGGTTAAATGTTTGCTCTTCTTGAGAGTAAATTTTGTATATATTTATTACTGATATGCATCGTGGTAAATGTAGGGGTTTTTTTTAAATGGCACTAGGCCATAAATTGTTTTCTTTCAGATGGATGGACAAGAGTAGCAAGTTTAAACTTAGAACACAGGTGTCTGGCTACAATTTTGTAATGAAAATAAGTGACTTCTTAACTCATCTAAAACTGCATTGAGAGTGCTCATCCATCTTATAATGTGCTAAAAGAGATAATGAATTGCCATCAGAGGAAAAATTTATTCCGAATAATTACAGGTTTTGTTCTTCTAAGTAAAAACAACTTAAAATATAGGAGCAGAAGAGCTAATTTTTGAGGGTACATAACCACTTGGATTTTCGATTCATGACTTTACTTTCTTCCAGAACACAGGCAATAGGAAAGCTTTCTCAAAGTCAGTGTAACAGACTGTTTAAATTTACCCAGCTTGGATTCTGGATTGACAAACATCTGACTTACATAACTGATTCAGTCTCTCATATAACCACCACCTTGGTGGGTACATTGAGAAGGAAAAACCTGTGTATCTATAGTAAAACTACTAGGGTTTTTTCCCAGCATTTTTATTTAATGCTTCACATTAAAAAAAGGAAAAAAAAACAAAACACCACAACCAAACACAACTAATTTTTTTCTTTAAAAATTAAAGTACCATTTTTTAAAGTTAGAGTTGTTTTCTTTTGTCTTGGTTCTAGACAGGACAGGGTTAATTTTTGCAGTAGCCAGGAGTTGGGCATGACTAGGTCCTTACTCAACACCACCTCATCATTTTCTGCACATAGGGGAAGGGATCCTTTCTGGATCCTGAAGGTGGCAGAGAGAGTGCTCAGGTATTGTCAGGTGTCTCTGTGTGGTAAGCACTCACATGTGAATCATTTGCCTCTTGTACACTCTGGTATTAATATTGTTGAAAACTCCTCAGGTCTGTTCTTGCCTTTTTCCTGCCTTGTTACCATAATAGAATGCTGCTACCCATCCAGTTGCCAAAGAAAGTCAGTCTGCTGGAACTTTGTTGGGCAAGATTATCAAGATGCAGTATTTGAAATTTATACCAGAACAACATGTTCAGATTGAAAAATAAGGAGTAGGCTGCATGTGGATGCTACTATGTATCATTTTACTACACTAATTCCATCTACAACACTGGTAAAATGACAATTATTTTTGATACTATCTCTCTTTACTCTAGGACCTCTTGGATTTACATGGGTAAAACATTACTGCACTTATGACAAAGGAACAAAAACTTTTACAATGAGTATAGCTGAAACAAAATCTGGTGGAAAAGTGGTGAGTTACTGATACATGAACGCATATATGAGCTGTATATTCCTTCTTTTTTATTAAGCATTTAAGAACTGCTAAAAGAAAAAAATGCAAACAGATAAGGCTGATCTCATAGATGAAGCAGTGAATGTATCATATAGCATGGATAAATATTTAAGCAGTATTTCTTTTTAAAACATATTTAAATCACATTTTAAATAACTAATGTGGTTGTTATAAAGGTATATGAAATTTACCACATTTGCACAGAATCATAGAATGGATGAGGTTTGGAAGGGGGCTCTGGAGATCTCTAGTATAAATGCAATTCAGGGTCAACCAGATCAGGTTGGTGAAGTCTGTGTCCAGTCAGGTTTTAGATATCTCCAAGGTTGGAGCCTCTATGAGCAACCTGTTCCAGTGTTCAATCACCACAAAAAACTTTTTCTAAAGTTCAATTACTTTTTCTAAGTTCAAATACAAATTACTTGTGTTTGTGCCCGTCACCTCTCTCCATTCTTCTGGACACCCCTGAGAAGAATCTGACTCAGTCTGCTTTCCTTCCCATGTGGTATTTGTAGATCAGTCACTGATGTGATCCCTCTTCCCCAGACCAAACAGTCCCAGCTCTCTCATATGACAAATCACAGGATTTTCAAGGTTGGAGGAGACCTTCAAGGTCATCTAGTCCAACCATCAGTGTAGCACCACCACAATCACCCCTAAACCATATCCCCATGTGCCACATCCATGTTCTTCTTGTACACTTTCAGAGATGGTGACTCTACTTGGTTAACTTATTTCAATGCCTAACCACTCTTCCAGTGAAAATTTTAGTTTTAATATCTAATCTGAACCTCCCCTTGCACAGCTTAAGGCTTCTCCCTCATATTCTTTCACTGCAAACATGGCAGAAGAGACTGACCCCCAACTCACAAAGCCTCCTTTCACATAGTTGTGCTCCAAGTCCGTAATCACCTTGGTAGCCATTAGCTGGACTTATTCTAGCACATCACTACCTCTCTTGTACGAGGAAGCCCAGCACTGGGCATAGCATTCCAGGTATCCCTCAGTAGTGCTGGATGGAGGGTGAGGATCTCTTTCCTCCACTTGCAGGCAGTACCCTGCCTGATGCATCCCAGGAGGCTGGTGGCCTTCTTTGCAGCAACATCACATTGCTGGCTCACGGTCACCTTGTTGCCCACCAGAACCTGAAATTCCTTTTCTGCCAAGCTGCTCTCTATCCTGTCAGCTTCATCCTGTCCTGGTACCTGCTATTCATGCTGAGCAGAATTGACCCCATGGGCATACCACTAGTGCCTGGCTGCAGCTGGACTTCTGTCGTGAGCTCAGCAGTTCAGGCAGTGTTCAGTCCACCTCATCATCTCACCCATATTTCAACTGTACTTGTCCATGAGGGTGTAGTGGGATGTAGTGTCAAAAGCATGGCTAAAGTTGAGATAAACATTAATTGTTCTTCCATCATACACTGAGCCATCCAACACATTGTAGAAGGCTATCCGGTTGATCTTGTGTGATTTTTCCTTTATTAAATTCATGCTGACTGCTTCCAGTCACTTTTCTGTCCTTAATATGTTTGGAAGTGCTTTCCGTGATTATTCATTTCATCACCTTCCCAGGGATAAGGTGATGCAGACTGCCCTATAGTTCATGTAAAATGATGCTTCAGGTTGCATCAGGGGAGGTAGGCATTACAGAAAATTTCTTCACCAAAAGGGTCGTCAAGCATTGAAACAGTCTGCCAGGGAAGTAATGGAGTCACCAACTCTGGAAGTATTTAAAAGATGTGTGTAGATGGTTTAGTTGTGACCTTTTCCAGCCTGAATGGTTCTATGATTCTATAACTTTCTCCTTGCTCATTGTAAAGACCAGAGTGACATTTGCTTCCTGCCATTCCTCAGAATCCCCAGTTGTGTCAGCTTTGCCAAAATTATAGTGAGGTCTCATAATCATGGTGGCCAGAATTGGGAGTTAGTTAGCTTTATTCTTCAGAAATCTTATATCTGCATGTAAGAGTTGGCAAAACTATATGACTTTCATCCTAACATGCATGCAATCAAGTTATATATGCAGGTGTTCGTAAGATTTCAATTTAGGGAATTTTCTGAAATGTAATGATTAAATAACAAATATAAGACAGAAAGCTATTAAATGTAGTCTTAATATACAGAAAAAATGTAAATATTCCTAAATAATTTTAATCCCTATGTTAAGACATGCTCTTTGGACTGATCATGAAGTTAAATTTAACATGAAGCCAAGGTGTATAAGCATACTGCCTGTGCTAATTCCATTGTGTTGTTTTGTAGAATGGCCTTGTCACAAGCTCACCAGAAATGTTCAAGCTAAAATCTTGCATCAGGAGAAAGACAGATTCAATTGACAAACGTTTCTGTTTCGATATCGAAGTATTTGAAAGGTTTGTTTACGTTGGGTTAACAATTTGAAAATAATTGCAACTGATAAAAAATTATTACTCCTGTAATAGGAACATATTTGCCAATATATTTGTATACAGACAAACTAGGCTTTCAAGACTTAGTACTTCTTTGTTCTAACCTGGTTTTCTGGTTAAATTCACTACACAGAATATATGTTGTCTTTACTACATGATGCTTGCATGCAGATACAGCATGGATTCTTATGGAACTTGTAGCAAAACTGACTGTCCTCTTTTAGAAACAGCTCATAAATATTCTTATAAATATTTTATAAATACTTGTTAATAAGTATACTCTTTACAAATATCTATTACGTTCAGAAATGTGTGGTAGTACTTTTTTTTTTCTTGAAAATTATGTCCACAATTTTTTTTCCACTTACTCCTGGATATTATGTCAGATACATGAGAATAGATTTCCTGTATTTAAGATACAGGCATGCAATATTTGTAGAAGTATTTTTTCCTCTTGGGAATAAAGACAGATATTGAATTAATTTTTGTGTTAAAATATGATCAATAGACTGACTTTTATAGTTATTCTCCTAAAAATTGTTTTATGACTGTTAGCAAGCATTTAAAAAAACAGATGTGTTTTATACGTAGCTCAAAATTATTCTGTTATATCAGAAGCTCTGAGATAACTTTCTCTAACTTCTGTCTGTCTTTTTTGTATTCACGTCACTATGCATGTGGATTCTGATTTTGGATGCTGTTTAAGAAAAACAGTAACTTCAGTGAATGTATGTGTTTTTGACAGACCTGGAATCATCACACTACAAGCTTTTTCAGAATCCAATCGAAAACTTTGGCTAGAAGCTATGGATGGAAAGGAACCAGTAAGGATATTTTTTAATTTTCATTTTACAGTTTTCTGGATCACATATTTCAGAAAGAAGCTAATATACATTTCAGATACTCTGTCACAATACCAACAAATAGAGTTATTTTCTTTGTGAGACACTAATGCAAGTATATAGTGAGGATAACTACAAAGTAGAAAAGTAGATCTATTAGTTTAAGCCTACACTTATATATGTAATTATCCTATGTTAGGATATTTAAAGTAATACTATTTTAAGTAACACGATAACACATTGTCTAATTCATGGTTCAAGTAGCATATGTGAAGTGGTTGTTATTACAGTGGTAAAGAACAGCCATCTTTTGGGCACTTTCATGGAATAAGCAATTAGTACCATCTCAAAAGGCATTGCAGAGAGCAGAAATACATGTTGAAAGCTACTGAGAGACAGGCTTGTCTGAGTTTTCTTCCCACTATTTTTATGCTCTTAAAATAGTCACTGAATGAGGCTGATGTCAGATCTGTATCTGATAGGAAAAGAATGGCTGATCCGTTTTATGAACTCGATGAGTGTTTTTACATGCTTCTTCTTTGCCTGGACCAGTACAGGAATTATAATCACAACCTGGTTTGAAATTTAACTCATCTGGACTCAGTAAATATGATTTCTGATGCATTAGTTACATTATGGTAGCACAGAGCTGTTAACCCAGCTGTGTGCTGGAGCAGTAAATATCAAGAGATCGTGAAAGGCAAGGTTGGGATTTCCCTAGCAGCAATCTAGTACATAGCATGTTGCAACTCCTCACAAACCTGGCAATAAAGGACTTAAAGCACAAACATTGTTCTGATGAATTGTTGTTGTTTGACTGGTTTTTGTTTTGGCTTTTTTTACAGATCTACACACTACCAGCCATTATTAGCAAGAAGGAAGAAAGTAAGTTCTTTATGTTGAGTTGCCATATCTTTCTAGATTCTTGTAATGTTGCAGTTTGTTGGTAAAGCGTGGGAGAAAGAGATTATTTTATATTTTAGTTATATTGCTGTGGAATAACTTTGGTGTGTTATCTAAACTTTCTCTGGCACAACTGGAGGCCATTTCCTCTTATCCTATTGCTTGTTACTTAAGAGAAGAGGCTGACCCCCCTGGATACACCCTCCTTTCAGGCAGCTGCAGAGAGTGATGAGGTCCCCCTGAGCCTCCTTTTCTCCAGGCTGAACACCCCCAGCTCCCTCAGCTGCTCCTCACAGCACTTGTGCTCCAGACCCTTCTCCAGCTCCGTTGCCCTTCCCTGGACACGCTCCAGCCCCTCCATGTCTTTCCTGCAGTGAGGGGCCCAGAGCTGAGCACAGGATTGGAGCTGTGGCCTCAGCAGTGCTGGGTACAGGGGGACGGTCACTGCCTGCTCCTGCTGCCACACCAGGGCTGACCCAGGCCAGGATGCCATCGGCCTTCTTGGCCACCTGGGCACACCCTGGATCATCTTCAGCTGCTGTTGACCAGCACTCCCAGGTCCTTATCTTTTAGACATCTTTCCAGCCACAGCTGCCTGGGGTTGTTGTGACCCCAGTGCAGGACCGGGCACTTGGCCTTGTTGGACCTTATACAACTCACTTTGTCTATTACATCTTTTTAGTTTAAGGTGTATATGCACCTGTTAGACATACACTGAGTAACAAAATTAGTGTATTTAAAGGTACTATGAGTTTTATGTGTATAATTGTATTAACACTGTATTAACACATTGGTTATTATCATATTATATTACACAAATATGTAAAAATAATTTAAATAATATATCTCAGAGAAAGAGATTTGTAAAATTTGGACATACATCTTCATTGGAGGTATATCTGATACTCTGAAAATCTAAAATTTAAGCCATTATCTGTTCTTTTATATGGTGTTTATTTTAATGGTGACAAATATGCTGTTTTAAGATTTTTATTTAGATAGTTAGAGCAGTGGGTATTGAAGATGCAACATTAATGAGAAGTACAATCACTTGAAATAAGGTGATTAATTAAACTCAGTAACAAGGATTGTTCTCCTACATTACCATTCTATGAGTGATTATGTGCATATGCAGGGAACGAAGAATATTGTTGTGTTAAAAACAATGAATGTATCCTGTTCATAATGTAGGTCCTGGACTCTTGAAAGCATTTTGCTCAGCAGCTTTCAACTGTGTCTTTAGAGAGGCTACTGATTGCTGAGAAAAGCAGTAGAATATTGAGCTTCTAATAGTACAGAATGACTACAAAGTTGGGTTGTGAATGCTATGATGTATCTAAAAAGAACCTATTACAGAACAAGTATTATAATGTAATGGATAACTGTGTATTAGCCCTCCTTTGGCTAGTGCATGAGTATAGCTAAACAGAATATTTTGTATACTTATGTTGGAGAGTAATTATCCTTTTTTTTTTATAGTGTTCTTAAATGAAGCGGGTTTCAACTTCGTGAGGAAATGTATTCATGCTGTAGAAACAAGAGGTATATATTAAACCACAAATAAGGTCTTAGATTGTTGTGACTTTTTCTAAAATCTGGCTTTTTTTAATTCTACATGTTTTACATCTGTGCTTTAAAGTATATCCATTATTTGGGTTGGACTTTTCATAGTTTATCTGGGTGCTTTGCACTCCAAATTGTTGTCTTCAGTTCCAACAACAATTCTTAACATATTTGAGATTTTTTAACTTTTTCTGTAATTTCTTGTTGATTAGACAGCTTAATAGACAATTGCACACATCTTTAGTCCTTCCTTTATGTGCTCTGACTTGACTTGTGTTTTGATACAACTGTAGGGAGTGTCAGCTCCCAGCTTTGGTTTCAGGTGTGAAATCAGAAGACCTAAAAGTGATGTTAACATTCGCTGCTAGTACATCTGGTTTTTATAGAGTATAACCCCTATAATTTTATTCAGTAATGTTGTACATTGTTTTGGTTTGTTGTTTTGGGGTGTTTTTATGTTCAGCAGCATTTAATGTTTAGCAACACTTTTCGTTAGTGGGAATGTAAAAAATTGAAGTAATAATCACTTCACCGATGAGGTGGTATCTAACAACTCACAGTAAGTTTTAAATAGAGACTGTATCATCACCTGTAAAATGAGATAGCCTTTCCTTGAGTTGTCAGTGTGCAGATCTCTTCTAATCCAAATGTGGTCTCTCTGTGCAACTCTAAGCTCAACTTGAATTCAGTTTCTCAGCCAGCAATGTTATCATTGTTGAGTCACTGCTGACTCAGAGCTTGCATTATTTTCTAGGGCAGTGAGGGTAAAAGAGGGTTTCAAAACAAAACACCTAAGTTATCTAAGATCAGATTTAGAAATGTTGTTTTCAAAGGAAAAGTAGACAATTTTTAAATGCTAAGGCTTGAAGTAGGGAGAATGGAAGACATTTAAACCCTGCTGATTTTAGAAGGCAGTTAAAAAATAATAAAATAAGAGATAATCAAATAAGTGTTCAGCTGTGCCAAGGGTAATATAGGTTGGATATTAGGAAAAAGTTTTTTACAGAAAAATTGATAAAGTGTTGGAATGGTCTGCCTGGGGAAATGGTGGAGTCACCATCCCTGGATGTGTTTAAAAGAAGACTGGATGTAGCACTCAGTACCATGGTTTAGTTGAGGTGTTAGGGCATGGGTTGGACTCAATGATCTTTAAGGTGTCTTCCAGCCTAGTGTTTCTATATTCTAAATACTGTATTCTGAATGTCACTCTTTAATATTATTTGTTATTATTATCTGTGCTATTAAAAAAGGCCTGGCAATTTTTACTGCAACATAAATTGCCAATTGATGTGTTAGAACAGTATACAGTATATATTTTTGTTTTTGTGATTCATAAATGTCAATCACGTCTAATTTGAAAGGGAGGATGGTCTAAGCAAACACAGTAATTGCACAGTAATTCCACTGACATCTAGGTAATATAAACTTGTTCATGTGTAATGTGTTTTAAGACAGTTTTTGGGTCTTATTTTTCACTTTTCCTAGCCATCACCTTGTTGTTTGTTAATATGGGTAATTTCTGTGCAGAAGGGTTCTGTTAATGTAAAATTATGCTTAGTGTATAGTATGGTGTGGACTCAGTGGAATGAATTTGTTAATATCCCACAAGAGGTTACAGTAGGGTAAAGCAGTACTAAAGAATGTAATGGTACAGTTTTCCATAAATACATTTAGATGTTTTGAAAATGTACTCCAAGAATGCATCATATATTGAAATCACCATATTTTCATTATTTTAATTTTTTTCATCTACTTGTTTTCCCAATGTAGGTATTACAATCCTTGGGCTGTACAGAATAGGTGGTGTAAATTCCAAGGTGCAAAAACTGATGAATACCATATTTTGTAAGTATCTGAAGTGAACTTGTGTCATTGTGCAGTGTGTATGCTGTGATCCCTTTTGCCTCAGCTGCTATGCTCAGAAGAGTGTGTTGCAATATTCACAATTTTGTATGTGCACTGGCTGCCACTGAACTAAGTTTGCACTCTTAAAATGAGTGATTCATCTTCAGTTTCTTGTGTGCATTAGTATTCACTTCTGCATGTAACACATGAGAAAATTACTAATAAAAATGCTTTTCTTCTTCTAACTTTAAAGTTCTATTTATTGATATATATTTGTCTTGTTCCACAAATTCTCCAAAGTTTAGTTCCATAACACATCATGGAATGATGTGTTATGGATGTGTCACCTTAAATAGACACTTGTTCCAGTCTTTCACTTTTCTTCCTAATTGATCTCTCTGATGCTTGTGTTTGCATGTTTGAGACAACTGAATTAGTAATTCTCTGTGGACTTGGGCTTACTTAACACTTTGATACAGTGCATAGTTAATTTTTATGGTTACTAACTATGAGCACTGAATTTATTTTCATTTATAATTTGACAGAGATGAAACAATTTAAATTTATCCGATTGGTGGTTAGTCTAGCTAATAATTAGTTGAGCTAAATGGCTGATCTAGTAGCTTCTGTTTACTACCTTCCTAGTTAATGTGTAAGTCAAACTGTAACAAAATCCTAATTCAAATTTCTAACAGCCCCTAAATCACCTCCTGATATGGATATTGATATGGAAATTTGGGACAATAAGACAATAACAAGTGGACTAAAAAACTACCTCAGGTAAGTATGATGCCACACAGTTTTGGTATTCCTTTTCTGGTCCATTAATCTTTGGCTTGTTAGTATTTCTTGGATACATTTCTTGTATCCATTGCCGTAGTCATAAATGAGTATTTTATTGTCCTGCTTAATATGCCTGTGATTATGTATAATAATGCACACCTTCAGCCTTTTAAAGATAATCCTGCCTTATATAGCCCTAAATTCAATCAATTGCATATTTTTATTTAAATTTTTTATGTTAACCACAAAGCATGTTGTGCTCAGTCTTTTCTTTGTGAATCCCTTAAGTTGTGTGCCATAAAATTTCATGACATTATGGTTGAATGAAAATCCCAGCAAAAGCATAGTTTTTTTATCTAATGTTCTTAATATCTTCACAAATAAAATACCCCTCCTGTCATTTCTACTGATAAGAGACATAATATTCAAAAATTATGGTAATTCTGAGATAACCCATTTGGATGTCAATATATAATGTCCAAAAAGAGACATAATAAAAAGTATGCAACCAGATGGTGGGTGTACTATGCCTTTTACAAATCCAGATTTCCTATACAAGTCACCTAACAAAGAGCAGCATCAGAAATCCCTATTAACCTGGAAAACATGCCTAGGATTTATAGCAAAATGCTCTTGTACATTTCATTGAAAAGACTGGCTTTGGTTGAAGAAATTTATAATACATCTTCAGAAGCCCAAGTAATTGTTGCTGCTGTGTTTGTGAAATTTGGACATGAGTGAGCAATGTGTGTTTGTGACATGAGCACAGTAGCTGTGTGTTTGTGTCTGTAAGGCAGCTCACAGTCTGCCTTTCAAAGGATGTCTCTTTTCAGATCTCTCAGATCAGAATTTCAGTCCAAATTTCATCATATTTTTGCCTTTTCTTGGGCAAAGTTTGCTTCTGCAGCCCATTATACTGTGTTTGCAGCTGTATTTATTCCTCTCCTACAATATGGAAGACAGGAAACATTGAGGCTCTGTGATGAAGTGACATTTTCCTTATTAACTTACATGGTGACACCAGATTCAATTCAAATTGATTTTCAGTGTACATTACAAAGTTTTATACTACTTGTAATCAGTCATCACTGAATTGGATTTCCTAGGACCAATAGAGAATTGTGCAGATGTTGAGGGCTATCATAATCACATTCATAGAAGTTAGATTTTGAGTCTGTTTTAAATTTAAAATTTGTTTTTTTCACAACCAGGTGTCTTTCAGAACCACTGATGACTTTCAAGCTGCACAAAGATTTCATTGTTGCTGTTAGTAAGTAAAAAGTAAAATGATAAATACACTTTCATGAAAGTAGTATTTTTTCTAACCCCTAATCTCCTCAGTCACTATCTTTACTTTTCTTCTTGCTCTAATATGCAGCGATCCAGCCCTCAAAACAGAGAAGTCACACTAGATGAAGCTGTTGAGTGGTTTGTTCTGATCTTTTTAGTGGTTCTGTGTGACTGCCTTCTGCATGAAGTTTTGAACTCTCATTTAGATGTTTGTTTGTTTGTTTATTTTATATAGGCTGATAATTCTTTTGTAACATTCATCCCTCTCATCTAGGGACCTTTATTTTCCTGGCTTGCCTTCAGAAATCAGAAAGGGCAAAAGTGAACTCCTTTTCACAAATGAAGTAATTGGATCCCGATATAATAGAGATCATTTTTCTAATGGCTTCAGTTTAGAATTTGAAGATATTTCTCCATTTTCTCCTTTCCTTTATAAGAATAAAAGACACAAAATAATTTTGTCTATTTTAATCTGTATTTCTTAGATTAAATTTTAGGCCTCACTGAAATGGCACATCAGGTCAATACTGCCATTAATTTGTTGGTTCCAGTATTGATAGTAATTGCTTTAGGCGAGTTCCTTGAAATACAGATTTCACAGTGTAATAAGTATAATCAAATTTTCCTCACGATTTGAAAGCTAATTTTGTTTGGCTCCTCTTAATGCATGTTTGTGTTAGCATACAGGCACTGATGCCATTTGTAGTCACTTCTTAGCACATGTTCTGATTTATCAACAATTTGTTTTCTGTTTAATAGAGTCAGATGATCAGAACTACAGAGTTGAGGCAGTGCATGCACTTGTGCATAAATTACCAGAGAAGAACAGAGAGATGCTGGACATCCTTATTAAGCACTTGGTCAAGTAATTATTTTTTATTTTTCTCTTTGGTATTATTGTAAGATGTTATCATTACTGCTTTAAATTTGTCAGTGTTGCTTAATCTGTTCTCTGTGCTGAAACAATCACACTCGAAATTACATTTGATTTCTAAAATGCTGTTCTCAAGTTAACTGGAATAATACTCCCTATAGAAACAGAATAAAAACATTAAGTGTTACCAAGATGGCAAACTATGTTTATAAAATAAACGTAGTCAATGTTTTCATTCATGCTTTTAGTACAGGACTTGTAACCAATTAAATAGAAGAAACATCTAACACTATGCCAAGGATAATGGAAAACTGGTTTGAATCTGTCTCAAAGTCCCAGAGTGTTTCAGGAATGAGACAGATTAGAAAGAGATAGAATGAGATAGATGATATGATAATTCCTGTTCTTTGTGTTTGATCTTATTTTTCTCTTTAGCAAGTCTGAAGTGTAGTGTCACTTGAAAGCACTAATTTGTATTATTATTTATATTTTTGATATCTACATAGATGTCCAACTTTTGAATCTCCATTAATATTCCCTTGATTTTTAATTGTCAGATGGAAAACATTTTGCATTTCTTGAAATTGGTGACCTTTTGTCTTCACAGAATTACACTTGGCATGTGCTGTGAAATAAAAAAAAGACGGGTATTTATTCTCTTAAGTGTCTGTACATCTTTGGTTAGTTTTTGCTGGTATTAGCTCAGTACTATTGAGTATGTATTATTCTTTCTGATTTAGGATGCTGTATAGTACATTTATCAGTCATCTAGAAATGTGAATAATGAAACAGTAGTTGTTCAGATAAGGCTCACACGACTCAGGCATTTAGAGGACATGAGAAGAGTCCATGTTGTGTTCATTCAGTTCACTACATCGCAGATGTTTTGCTTTCTTGATCACACCTTGAGCTACAGGCTGCAGTAAGCTGTCTAAAGTGGAACCTAATGTAGTTTTTCTTCCTGCTATAGAAATGAGTACTTTGAATATTTCTTTGACAAGAAATCATTTAGCCCTAAAAAATGGTTTTAGCCCATTATGTCATTAGCTCCTGGAGAACCAGCATTATAGCAAGCTGCTGTAAATGCATTCATTGAAAAACCTGTTTAGGCAGACCTTGCCTCTCGTTATACTTGGGCTGACACAGAGAGCCAGATGGAAAAAAAGTTTCATAAGTTTCTTTACTCACAGAATTGTTTAATTAACTAAAAAATACAATACCTACTCCCTCAGAACCCTCAAAAATGCAAAAGTATTTAATGAAGGATTAACAATTTTGTAAAAGCTTCTGGTCTGGAAGTTTCAAAATTAGAGGAATGTATAAGCATATGAACTGACTTATTTTTTGGTGCAATTACTGTTAGGCAAGGATTACTTTCTTATTTTCATTTCTTTTCTCTTTATTCTCAATGTGATCTCAGATGCAATTCCAAAGAAAAGCATACCTGTAGTATTCCCTTATTTCATTGTTCTCTTTAACTTTTACTTTTCTCATCTTTGTTGTGATTCTCATTTCATATAGGTGTGATCTTAATTTTACACTGAATGCCTTCAGTACTTTTCTTTTCAACATAAAATTCACCCCTTCTAATTTCCATGTAATTTGCCAGCTGTTGTTTATGCTAGCAATTCTAATGAGACCAAATTTAAAATTAGTCTCTTGAGTGCATTAGCCATCTTCCTCCCTCATCTTTTTCCTACCACTGTGTGGAGATTTTTCAAAGAACAGATAAATGGCAGGTAAAGTGCCTAATTTTATGGAAATGGGAAAATTTGGGGGAAAAAAAATCCAGCCTACTTTTTTCATCATTCTTTTGTTGAAGATCTAATTTCAAAGTGCATAATTCCTTCCCTACATTTCTTTTAGGTGTTCAGTTCCTTTATAAATGCTTTTGCAGCAAAGTGAAAATACTGTATCTCTGGGTTATAAAATAAGGATAATGTTATTTTTTTTCTTGGTTTAATTCTTTACATCTTTGCCTAGCTTGACTTTTGTGTTACCATACAAATTTAAATAGGATCAGATGTTGGATGTAGATCATACTAAAAACAAACAAACAAAAAAGCAAAAAAGCACTTAAGCATCCTCAAAAGCCTGCTGGAGAGAGGTGATACTGCATGGATACATAGTCAGTAGCTAGGCAAACTTGGCAAGTCTGGTGTTACTTTCACATGAGTAGCTCGTTTTTTGGTTTTTAAACCTATCTAGACAAATTATGTCTACTCTAAAGAATGAATCATTCTTTGGTATGATTTAACAATACAGTGCTTTTCTGTGGTAGGCAGTTGGGAATCTGCAGTCTGGCAGTATCACAAATTTACTGGTGATACATCAAATGAAGAGATTCAGAGGAGAAAGCAATGGTATTTCCATGAATGCCCTACAGATATCTGAAATGCATGATTACCTCAGCTTGTGTCTGTGCTGTAGCTCAGCGCCAGTAGGAGTAGGTCAGGGGAAAGTGGCTATCAAAGTGATCCATTTACAGCCCTGGGTTCTTTTTCTTTTGCAAGAAGTCGAGCCTTTGAAATGCATTGTAGAAAGCTCTTTCCTGCTGCAATGTTATTGAATTTGCCATTTCTTTTATTAACCAAGCTCCCAAATTTGTAACCAAGGAAACCCAAACACCAGAGAAACACTACCTTCTCTCTTATGCTATAAGATTGTAGTATTTGTGTAACAGACTTCTACAGTTACTGTGCAGCACACAGCAGAGTAACATTGCAAAGGGAGGGTTTTTTTAAGTTTTTTTATAGCATATCTAGAGCTGAGTTATTCAACATTCTAGTTTCATTAAAATACTAGTGGACTTCCCAAAAGACCCTTAGTCATCTAAGATAAACTTAAGATCTGTTTCAGAGAAAGTTAGATTAAGCTAAAAATGTGCTTTAACAGTGGAGTAATTTTCATGATATGGCTTCCAAATAATGATCTCTGCCAGTGTGTCTGTCTGAGGTAATATTTTGGAAAATTTTGAGATAACTTACTGAAGCAATATAAGAAATATGTAAGAAGATAGGCATTTGTTTTCCTGCAGTTTATAAATGTGCAGCCTCCTATATGAAACCCTTTTCCATATTTCTCCTACTGCTTGATGTAAATGGGGTGCTAAAATCTTCCTGTCCCAAATATTAAGGGAATGTTTTATAGATTTTACTATTTCTTAATTTTAAAAGTTGCAAGCGTTATTAATTGCGTAGGAAATGGCTAAAAATGCTCAGCTTGACCATAGTAGCAGATGGCTGTGAGAAGGAAGAGGAAAATGGGAACCAGTGCCTCATTAATAAGTTAATTTGGTAACAGTTTCTGTACGATTAGGCATTAAGGTGATTTTAAAATCCTGACTTGGCATAATATTATTCAGACATGAGGAAATAGGACAGGTATGACTGGGGAATCACTGGCAGATGTTTCAAAAGATCTATGATGATACAGTTTGGCAAAACTTAGTAGTAAGAAGATAAATGGATCATTGAGTATTACTGATTGAAATTTAACTATCTGATAAGTTATTGCGAAAACTAAGCTTTTAAATTCTACATTAAAAAGAAAAGCAGAAAAGCTAAAGTATGTGATAACAGAATATACAGAAATAAAAGCTTAATATATTTTAAGCCAGATGTCATTATGATCATCTAATGTTATCTATCACACAGAAACAATAATTTCACTTAATCTCTTAATCCTGTGTTTTCATCAAATTGATAAAGAGATCCTATTGCAAATTAAGTGTTTTCAGTAACTAAGCTTCATTCCTTTACATGAACACTAAGGTATATGGTAGATCTCTGTTACCACACAGCACCAGTCAGATGTATGTAAGAACCTGTATAATCATTTGAGAGAGACAGTGCTTGCCCTAAGACTTCTAAACTGAGGTGTTCTCAATCTCTCTGTGTAGAACTCCAAATACAGCCTTTCCCTGTCAGGCATATCAGGAACTGAAATACTACTCTAGGAAGACATACTGATTATTCATTAAGTTATTGCATGATAGGAGCCTTAATGGAAACATAGTTGTTGTACTACATTGTATTTTGATTCTAATATAAGTGGAAGCTTTAAAAATGTATTTTAAAGAGAGGCATGAACTTGAGATCTTGTAAAAGTAGTAGTCTTAGCAAGTTTTTGCCTGTTAAAATTATAGTTTAGCACAGCAATTAAATCACATATTGTTTGTGTTCATTTAAAGGGTATCATTGCACAGTCAACAAAATCTAATGACTGTATCCAACCTTGGTGTTATCTTTGGACCAACTCTGATGAGAGCACAAGAAGAAACCGTGGCTGCTATGATGAACATTAAGTTTCAGAATATCGTCGTTGAAATTCTGATAGAGCATTATGAAAAGGTAGAAAGAAATTATGCTTTGTTATGAAGTGGAACTAAGATCTCATTTTCATTACCATCATTAGGTCTTTAAGAATAAAGAGTCCAAAATGTGTAGAAGGTCATTAATAGAAATAATAGCTTCTTCCCACTCCATGCTGTGGATCTCTATTCCTAGCAATTTTTCATGGCTGTGCAAGGTACAGATCCAAGACGTAATTTTCTATGTTTTGAAGGCATTGCTCTGAATCTTCAGTTGCTTTCTAAATGTTGCTTCCTGAATCTAGAAGCAGAAAGAGAAGGTCATAACTTTGCTCCTGGCTGCTCCAGCTCTTTCTTGCTACTATTGTATGAAAGTTCACCCTGGGTGAATGCACAGATTCTCATCTGAGTGCATCAGGTCAGAATGTTTCTGGCCATTGCTGTCCTTAGGGGACAATGTCAGCTGCATAGTAGAGATAGTCACTAGAAGGGTTGAGAAGGACTTGAGCAGGAAATTTTACACACTTGATTTCAGTCACTACCATTGCTGGTATCAGCTTCACTGAAAGACCTCCTCATATTTTTTGTTTTAATTTTAAACTATTTGATTTCAGAATTCAGCCAAACATTCAACACCTCCTTTACTTAGTAGTCAAAAGCAATTTTATTCTAGGGATCTTAGTTGAGCTATGTCATCTCCTCTGATGACTGACGAAACAAAGTGAAAAAACTTGGAGTTTCTTTCTTTACATACTACTCAGCTAAGGGGCAGTTCCCAGTCAATACCAGGATCCCCTGCACTGGTTGATCAGTAGGTGCTTACAGTACAGCTTGGTATCATCAGTTATGATATCATCACAGGGACTCCTCAGAATGGCTGTGAGCCTGATAGACTTCTTGGCTCTGATTGCAAAACATATATATTGCATTTTCCCAATACTGAATTTCTTTACCAGAAAATCAGAGCTCATTCAGGACAAAGACTCTGACTGCATAATCAAAGTCACTCTTGCTCTATTTCTCTGTCTACAGATATGTTTTTATATTGATATGCTACTCACTAGTGCTTAATACAGTTTTAATGTACTGCGAGAGCATCTCAAAATGTCCACCCAAGTATTTCCTACTGTGGAAGTACATTTGCTTTCTTCCACTTCTATGGGTGGCACACAGGTGTTCTTTTCATGGTTTGCTTCATCTTCTTTTGGGAATGCCCTATGGCTAGAGGGCCCAGAAATCCTTAAAGAGATGCCTTCTGGCAAAGCATGGTAAAAAACTTGATTTTTTTTCTCAGCGATGAAGTGCAAAATTGACCAGTGGTAGCAGTGGTATGTAAAAGAAGAACCAGAAGATGCCCTAAACATAAAGTTGTTCCTCATTAAACTTGCCTTGTTTGTTCAAATAAAGCTTTCTGAAATCTAAATTAGATTGTAATAAGTTACAACTGTGACATATTTCTGTGATATAGAAAAACTTCCTCTGGAACACAGAGCAAAAAAAAAATCAACTTTGTCATAATATTTAAAAAAATATGCTACTTCTTGGAGAAGAATCATTAGTAGGCACCTATTTTGTTTTACAATTTCAACTGTTAAGCCCTTCTTAACAAGAGCTAGAAAATAAATCTACTTCAACAAATTAGTACAGATATTAAGTACAGCTCAGTATTGTGGTTCTTGAGTTGTAAAATGAGATAAAGCAAAACTTATATTCTGTGCCTTTACTCTTTTGTAATATATGAGACTATGATAGTGTTCATTTTAAGCACAGGGGGGAAGAAAACAAATGGATTAATAATGAAAGTGTAAGAGTACCCCGTCGTTTAATGTAATTTTTTCCCTTTTTTTAATCATTCAGATATTTCACACTGCACCAGACCCCAATATTCCTCTTCCCCAGCCTCAGTCCCGATCGAGTTCAAGAAGAACAAGAGCAATTTGTCTCTCCACAGGCTCACGTAAACCCAGAGGAAGGTACACACCATGTCTAGCAGACCCTGACAGTAAGTTTGTCATTGCATATGGTTATCTTGCTTTTTATGTCATCTTTTAATTTTGCTTGAATAATATCCTACAGATACTATATTCCAATGATCATAAGAATCAGCTTTTTAATCTCTGTGTGTCACAGCAGCACTGTTGACTGACTGCATTCCTCACTTCTCAGATGAGGAGGGATGTTTGGTTAGGGTGTTGGATGGTTGGATGTTGGTAGGCAAGTCTTGTGTTGCATACAGTGTTCAACATCATTTAAACATTGTATCCACCTATAAAAAATGTAATTCAATAAAGGATAGGAGATCAAAACCATCACTTAGCTTTTTTCACATGCATGAAACTGTGGTCATTGCTTCAAAGTCAGCCACTGCCTCAGCTGCCAAAACCACTGAAACTTTCTTAGGTTTTCTGGAATGGAAACAAACTCTGCTATTCCTGGGAGAAGCAGTGCACTCATCATATGGCTTGCTGTTTAACAGCAGGGAGTTTTATCTATAATTAACTGCTTGTTTAGAATGCTTACTTAATTTTATATAGATGTAATTAAAACGTTTTACTTCATTCATTCTCATCCATTTGGGTCACCACTTTTTTACTTACTGGATGGACCTGTAAAGAGTATTGAAACTTTATAAAAGCTTATGTCGTTAACAATTCTACTACTGCAACAGACTTCCTAAAGAATTTCTGTGTCCCTTGGTTCCTCAGAAAGATTTATATGAGAGTGGATCAGTAAGTTAATCCACAGTTAAAGTACATCTGTTCTGGAGGATCTGTAGTAATTCTGAAGTCTATAATGTTAAGAAATCTGTCCTCAGTATATTCTTGCACAGCTGCTGCGCTTTCCATAGGCCTGTGTTACTTGTTTCCTGCCAGGGAGAGTTTAAATACTAAATAACAATAGCTCCCTTCACATGGATTGTCAGTGTGAATGACATGGAGTCCCACGTAAGAAGTTACAAAGAAACAGTCAGTTACACTCACACTGGATAAACTGGCAAGTTTCAGGTGTTTTTCACTGTGTAATTGCAATGAATGAATACCAGTATAAAAAAGGGGTATTTCTGTGCAAGTATTTCACAGAGTGTATGTAAGCTTCTTCAGGTTATGCCGGGAGAGCTTCAAGTTGGACATCAGGAAGAATTTCCTCACTGAAAAGCTTGTCAAACATTGAAACAGACTTACCAGGGAAGTGGTGGAGTCTCCACCCCTCAAAGTGTTCAAGAAATGATGCAACATTTAGTGCCATGCTTCAGTTGACATGGTGGTGTTCAGTGAAAGGTTGGATTCTACGATCTTGGGGGTCTTTTGCAACCCGAATGATTGTATGACTTCTGTGATGCTGCGTTTGGTGGCAGTTTGATGGCCACTCAGTCTGATCCAACAGCTCTCCATTTGTGTTTTGCTTATTAGCTGAAACTCAGCACATGTATAAGCAAGTTCCAGTTAGTATCTCGCTTGTGCCATGAAACACTGAGGCAGAAGCAGAAGTATTCTTCTTTCCAAATATCTCTAGGTGTGGCAGGTAAGAGGGAGCCAAGGCTTCTGGCAATAACATTTTCAGAGTAGAAGATGGTTTTAAGTCATCATTTAAATGAAGCATAGACACAGTTATATTGCGGGAAATAAAGGAAATCTGTGTGGGGTAAGAAAAGAGATACAGGTTTCATATGGTAGGGAATGCTAAAAAATTATAGAAAGTGTATCTGACAGAAAATGCATCAGCCAGTCTTACAACTTTCAAGGGACTGATGCTCTGTAAACAGGCAACATGCGTCTTCAAGTTGTAAATAAAAAGAAAGAGTTGTGTTCTTTGTGCAGAAAACCACAGATTAATTAATTTGATAACAAGTAAGGTACAAAGAGCTAAAAGTGGCAGGATAGAAATGTACATGATTAGAAAATGCAGATTATGTTTTTCACTCTCTCTCCCTTCCCCTGCCTCCTCCCCAGGTGACTCGTACAGCAGTAGCCCCGACAGCACTCCCATGGGCAGCATCGAATCTCTGTCTTCTCACTCCTCCGAGCAGAACAGCACCACCAAGTGCACGCCCTCACAGCCAAGGGAGAAATCAGGAGGGATTCCATGGATTGCCTCTCCCGCTTCTTCTAATGGCCAGAAAAGTTCAGGCCTGTGGACTACAAGTCCAGAATCCTCATCAAAGGAGGATGCAACCAAAACAGATGTGGAATCAGATTGCCAAAGTGTAGCTTCTGTCACTGGACCAGAAAATGCCTCTCCACCGACAGACCTGACCAAAAAGAGTTCCTACAGTCTGTCTGGCTTGAAAAGGTCTTCAGCATCTTCCCTTAGATCAATTCCATCAGCTGAAGGTAATTTCCAAGGTCTTTTATCACATCAGTTTTAACTTATGCATCAGAAAACAAGAGCTGGGTCTGAAAGCTAATGGTACTCATTAGTCTTATTTGTTTGCTTGTTTTTAATTTTTTTGGTATGTTGTTTCAGTTTTTAAGCTGCTTCTGACATATTTCTATTGCTTATAACCTGCACAGTTCACACAGCTTAATAAAAAAGTTTCTCAAATTTAGATCACTCAATATCCTCTTATGATTCATCTATAATCTATGATACAGAATAATACTATCGATTAGAAATATTAGTAACAGAGGTATTGTGCTTCTATTTTGGAACCTCTGTATTATGACAGCTTTTAAAGCATTATTAAGCATTGGTTGGTCTTTGGCATAAGGAGAGAAGCAGATGCAGTTTTCGTCTTGCAGAACATCCATGGAAACGGGGCAGCAATCTACTGATAATTCACCTGAAAGACACATGTGGACATGGCTTACATTCATTAAAAGGATTTCTTCTGTGTGCTATACAGGCTATACACATACAGATTTGCTTTATCAAGTTGCAGTGGCAATTGTTTAAGGCAAATCATGGTCATTAGTTCCTCGATATATTTTTTAAACTGCATGAAGCTTTTGTGGATATTGAAATGTTAATTCATACAAATTATTGTCGTCTGATTTCACACTATTTTGACTTCCTGAGAACCATTTTCCTGTCAATTTTTTTCAATTTTATTCAAAGTGCTGTTTTATAAATGTTTTTGTTGTCACTTTTTAGTGATTGTACTGTCTAGCCATGTAATTGCAATGTAATTTATTAGCCTTCTCAGCTTTAGTGTCATTTCCACATTCTTTCTGTTGATTCTTTTCTCCTGGCTTTTTATCTGAAAGATGGTTTCTTCTTGCACTTAGTAAGTAGTTTCTCTGCCTGTTTTGACTCCTAAAAAAAACCAAAACCTTAACAACAACAGCACAACCTTTGCTTTGCACAGTTGTACATGTTTTGTCACAACTTCAAATCAGCTTTAATGTTCCCTATAATTTGATATTTTCTTTAGGTAACAAAAGCTGCAGTGGATCTATACAGAGCTTATCTTCAACAGATACCAAAGATACACTAAAGGCTCCACCAAACCCTGACTTGCCTCCCAAAATGTGCAGGAGATTAAGATTAGATACGGCATCCAGTAATGGCTATCAAAGACCAGGATCTGTGTAAGTCATTAAGGCCCTTTGGAGATTTGTGTTGTTACAGTATTGTGTATTATAAAGTGATTCCAGAAACATTCATAAGTAATTAAAAAGTAAGCATGAATACTTGATTTTCATATTTCTGTATTTGTCAATTATTTATCTAGTTTTGTTAAAAATGTAAACAAAGGAGATGGCACGAAGTCTGTTTAAGTCAGTTGAAAGACTACCATTGACTTTATTAGACTGGAGATAAGATAGAAATGTTTCCTAGGAAAATTATTAGTATTACTATCTCTGGTTCTTCTGGAATTTAATATTTCAAGGAGCAGTAATGCTGTTTACTATGATTACATAGACATAGACAGCTATGTCTATGCTGTTATCTTGGAAAAATCATCAGATTTTATTTGTGGAAGTCCAAAATTGGAGAAAGGAAAAAGAAAACAAAACCAACCTTCAGCTCTGAAGTGTCTTCAGTTGCTGCATGATAAATAGTTGATTTTTAACAGCTGGGGTTTGGTTTGGTTTTTGTTTAGTTTTATTTCTTTAATGCTAAAAGGAAGATAGTTCTAAGCAATAGAGACTGTGATTTAGCCTATTGAGGTTTGGGTTAATAATGTTTCTCAGTGCTTTCAGAAGACTGGAAAGTCAGGAGATCTCTCCTGATCTGACTGTGACTCAGAGTATCCTTGTCCCCATGAACAAGTATTTCCAGATCTGCAGAGCATCAAGAAGTTTTTCAAATACTGCAGGATATCATTCAGCCTCTCCACTTTGTATCTGGAAGGGATCACTGTAGTCATTTCACAGACTCATGTGTCTTACTTAAACAGAGAATTCTGCACAGCTCAGAGTTCCAGCATGATAGTGATATTTTCAGTAAAAGCATTTCCAATATATCTATTGGCCATCCATGAATACAGTTTTAGCACAAGATGTTGAGTTTTCCATTGGTAACTCAGCATAGCACTGGAGCATGTGGAAGTCTGTTGCCCTGGTTGGGTTACGCCCTTTAAAAGTCTGGTAAATAGAGATGTAAGTGAATAATTATTAAAAAAAATTCAAATGTGTCCATGTCTTTAGATGATTAGAAGTGAAACTAGTGTGTGTAGTATAAAGCAAGGCTTTGCATTTATTTTCAGAGTGGCTGCAAGAGCGCAGTTGTTCGAAAGTGCTGGTTCACTTAAACAAATTTCTTCAGGACGGTAAGTGCTATAAACTGTTTGACATTCTGTAAAATCCTTTCTGTTTTGCTGGCTTCAGATACTGAAAAGAAGAGTTGGCGCTTTGTTCTATGTCTTTTGGACAGCATCATGTGGCATGTGAATTTTTTTTTATTTACTAAGCTCATCCTTTCTTCAAAAGAAAGGTAAATTTCACAGGGAATAGCAGCCAGTCTGGTTATTCTCTCACACGGGGAAATAGTTAGAGAGATTCAGGACAGCTGTCTGCTTAAGGACACAGATGCAAGAGAAAATTACCAGTATTTAAATTATGATGAGGGTGCTGTATTTTCTCTATATAGCTTTTGTAAGCCGGATGGAATGGCTTCAGCAGAGTAGCAAACCTGCTGGTTTATGGTAAATCGCTCATATAGGCAGGTCTGGACTTACATCTACTTCAGAAAGTTCAAGATTTACTTGATCAAGATATCTGTCTCTACCATCACACCTTCCATGCCTCGGTGTCTGTCTGGAGAAACTGTTGACCTTTCTTCTTGGTAGAGTGCAGCAGAAAGTATTGGCATTTTCTTTACAATTGTTTGCATTTATTTCATTAATTTGATTCGTTTTTATATTAAATGAATTTAGAATGTTCCAGTAAGTGTTTGTCTAGGAAGCAGTATCTTCTATACATTACTACTTCCCTTACAATTAATGGACAAAGCAGATAAGTAAATAAATGTGTGAAAACATCTGTCTCTATTCTCACTGTCCCAACCTTTAAAATTCTTTGGGACAGAACAGATATTTAGAGCAGATCACTGCTTTACTCACTGATAAGCCCACAACTTACCAGAACTGTTGAGCAATGAAAAAAATGTGTCAATCCATGAATCCAGAAGTAGTAGCCTAAAGTAGCACGGATGTAAAGGAAGATGCCAACATGCTGAAATGTGTGGCCATGGAATGTGTCTGTCCTCTCTGGCAGATCTAGCAGGGGAAGGAAAGAAAAAGCTCTCCTGCAAAGGCCTACTGATTTTTTGAGAGAAGGAGCTTTCAGGAATCAAGGCTCTTGTTTTGTGTAGTGCCATGAACTATGAAATGAACAAAAAGGATGGTGGCAGGGGAGGAAAGGGGTGTGAAAGGATCAGAGCGATAATTTAAGGAAGAAAAGTATAAATGAAGGGTCTGGAATATTCTTAAGCCAGTGCCCTAAGTTGAAAGCAATGACTTCTTCACCAGTCCTGAATCATCTTTCATCTTCAACACTGTTCCTTTTCTTCTTCTGTATTACTTCCTTCTTTCAGACTCTCCCCTGTTGTTCCTTCAGAGCCTGTGCCACCTGTATCTGTATATAAAAAGCATGTAAGAAGCAAAAATCTGACAAAGGAAAAAGTAGCAGTTTGGTAATGGATGTGGAGAGGGGATAACAAAGCTGAAAACACTGAAAGGCTGAATAGCTCCTCTACTTCAGGCTTCATAAGAAGGCAGAAGAGCAACAGGAGCAAGGAGAATGGAAAATGAGAGGTTAGGAGGCAGAATGAAGGAGAAATCAGAAGTAGCTCAGCTGTTCTTATAGTGCTGCTTAAGTCTGAGTATGATTTTGCAATTCAGAGCCAGCCATTATTTAGCTGCATTTTATGAACACGATGGCTGATTTAAAACTGTAGAATAGCCTTTGTTGTTTTGGGGGTTTTTTGGCTCTGAAGTATGTAGAAATCATGGTAACTACAACTTGATCATGCAGTAGAAAGGCCTCCCGTGTTCATAACTCCTAACCAATGAATATATGCAAGGCCAGGTGTAAGGCAGAAAAACTATTTTTAAACTGCCTGATTTGGTGCCAGAAGTACTCAAGTCAAGAGAGTGTTGGACTCTCTGCATGGGTAATTTATCCTGCTAAGATAAACTTTAAGCTACTGCTTACCTATGCAATATAGAATGTAAGTAAGTTCATCCCTGCTTGAAGCTCCTGTTGCCTGCTGTGGTCTTTTGCACAGATGGTGATCAAAAGTACCTGTATGGTTTTGCAGTCTCACATTGTTTTCTGTATTACAGCAGATAATGCTCCACTTGATATTTTACTGCCACAGTGGTCTGCTCCTACTTAGTTCCTTCTTATATGCAGTGTTTGCAACCCTGCTTTCTGACTTTGTATGATGCAACAGGTCTCTAATGAGTTGTGTGTCCTCTTTTTAATGCATTATTTCACCTGTTTTCTCTCCTTGTATACATGAGTATATGCTCCTGTAACACTAAAGGGTTTTTCTAGTCAGAAAGACAACAAGAGACCACAGTACATGTGTTAGGATTGGACAAGGAAGAACAAAATTTGATGCCCTGTCCAGCCTGTGCTCTCTTTTTCCAGTTACAGAGTTACTTTGACTTCACTCTTCTTATTTCCTGATTTGAAGTTAATTATTCATCAGTCTCCCTTACTGTGGTACTGATCTACTGTGTACAGTGAAATCAGTCTCTGTCACTAATCTAGTATGCACTGGAAAGAGGTGAAGGAGTTTTCTTCCTGTTTTCACAAGTACTGCGTTAGATAAGTCAGTCAGGCCTGAGGTCTGTTTATTTCAGCTTCTGTACAGAAATGCACCGACATAAAATCCCTGACTCTACGTATTCTTGAGTTTGATTTAGAGGCACACAGAAAGTCGAGTCTCCTGAAGTGAGAAATTGCATTAGAAGAAGAATTGTCACTAGAAAAATGGGAAGGAGTAGGTGACAGCAAAAGGCTCAACCTTTCAGCAGGATCTCTGTGTGTCAGGCTGGGACTTCAGTAGGAGCAGACTGATGTTTTGATGCCCTCTAGACCCATGCTCCCTTCCCAAACATATGATTAAATATTCTTTTCCAGTCATTCTTCTGTTCTTATTTTCATGCTAAATTTTCATTTGCAACCTAAACCACCTGAAATGCTTTGCTCAGACCAGACCAGTGTGTTTTACTCAAGCTTGGTTTTGAGTCTTCCATCTCCAGGGCTCTATAAACCTTTCTTTTTCCTGTAGGATAATATTAACTGGTGAGTCATCTGAGAGAGATTCATAAGTTTTTCCTCATTCATTCCTGTTCTGGCTTTGTCTCGCTATACTGAAAAGTCATTAGGACAGGAGCATAGTTTTAAAGCTTGTTTATCTTTCTACACAGTTATTATTACTATTATTATTATTATTAGCGCCTCAGGTATTGTTGACTGTGCGTAGTCAAGCAAAAGAATTTATGATCTGATGAGTACTGATCCTTTGACTGATAGTATATTTATCATTATGGGCTCAAAACAACCGTAATAGGAAGTAAGGAAATGGAAAATGCATTTTTCTCATCTGGAATCTACCCAATAAGGTCATGGAAAGAAGGAACTTCTAGGAAATGTGGGTAACATTTTCTGAATTTGCTTTTTTTTTCCTCTGCTCTAAACAATATGAATCACACTCCTCTCAGGTTATTAGCATCATCTTGCAAGAACTCTAATAGATGATGGTGATGTTGTCACGTGCTTTTTAACAGCCTTGTTTCTAGGGACAGCAGCATTAACACCATCAGTAACAATGTCCATTTTTGTAATCACAAACAAAATGCCCAAGAACCTGCAAGCTTAGTGCCTCCAGATGGATAGGATTGAAGTGAGTAATAACAAATATGAAAACCTAAATAATCAAATCAAGTGTGGAAGCAATAACCAGGTGCTTGAACATTGCTCCAGAATTATGAATAAATATTCTTGAATCTGTCACTCATTATACCATCACAGATGATTTGTAGATAACTTTCGGGTGTAATTGCACTGCCTCAGGAGCATGGCAGTGTGATGAATCCTATCATTCATTAGCTTTTGAGAAACTGACTTCTTGTGTTTCTCTATCTGTATAAATGTCAAGTGCTGAAAACCTTTCTCTTGCCATCGGAGATGATTTTAGAGGTATTTTCCAACCTTAGAAATCCTGTGATTATCTAATTCTAATATACAGTCTATGTTTTCTTTTCTTTTTTTATTTTTAAGGTAAACATCCTTGGATCAGATAAAATTGGAGGTTGAAAACAGAATAGCTTATTAGACATTAGAGAATAGAGGAGAAAATTGCATTAATTTAACTTTTTCTAAGGGCAATAAAAACATGTCATATTTCAAGAATGACTTAAGAAATTCTGCCTCACATTTAAATATTGCCTTAAATGTCTTTTGTCACAGTATTACTCAGGTGTCCCATTATTAAGATGGGCACCTGGCTTGATAATCAAATTATTCAGATTTGAAATAATCCTTGTGATTTAGTAAATTCATTTCCTACTACTTCGTGTTCATTACAACTACAGCAATCATTAACAGTTACTCTACTGTTTTATATGTGTAAAATCCATGATTATGCCACACAGATGCATTGGGTTTGCATAACAAGGAGTCATGCCATGGTCAGCCCATTTTGTCATAGTGTTACTTCATAGTGTTACTGATTTGGGTCAGGATAATTTGAACATTTGTAGTGCTCTCTGTAGGCTTTGAAGAAAAAGAAGATTAAAAATTTTAGTTTATGTGTAACCTTTGCTAAAGTTATCTCAACTTCCTCTGTATATACATTATGTAAATTGTTATGTATAAACTTCTACAGATTATGTAGAGTAATGAATCAAGACACCTCTCTTGTCAAGTGTAGATGGCAAACTCTTCACAACAGGAGGCACCAAGGAGTTCTTTTGGGAAAATTCTACTCAGAGCAGTCTACACCAGCCAGAGAACAAGCTAACATTTAAGCAAAGTGAGCAAACCTGGATCCAGTGCTCATCTTGTTTTAGTTAGCTGATGGGATGTAACCAGGATGACAGTACTAAAAATCAGAAATATTTCCCTGAAAATAAACTGCCCCTTGGATATTGTACAATTCAAAATTCCTGATCTCCTCTGAAAATCTCATCCTGAGAATGTAACCCTTGAGGAACTATTAGTTCTCTTAAGATGAAGGCAAAACATGCCATTTAGTCTAGTCATAAGTCAGAGAATCAACAGCAAAGTGTTTTATTCAAAGGGATAAATCATCTCTGGAAAGCTCTCACACAAAAACTTCAGAATATGTCTATCCACTCTCATACACTTTTAAAGGTTCAAGTGAATGATGATAATGCTTATGATGTGGCACTGTTAATTAATCTATCTTGCAACTCTTTTATCTCACTATTTTGGGAGAAAGACATGATAGATTGCATGCACTTGCATATACACACTCTATGTGTATGCAGAAAGTATGCAGAAAATTTTAAACTTTGCCACAGGTCACATATTGGGTCATTGAGATAAATCCTGGCTAGAAGGAAACCTCAATTGGCAATTCCCCATCATATCACACAAAGGTGAAATAATCAACAAGTTCATCTTCACTTAGTGTAGTGTGGGTTTAAAGAAATTCAGAAAAATTGGTGGCTCATGTAAAATTATTCTGACTGTGTGAGTTAAAGCCAAGGTGTTAGGTGAAGTGCAGGAATCTAAAGAGAACTCCTAAGTTCAATCTTCATGTTCAAACACTCATTTTGTACTTTGCAGAACCATAGTGCCAGACCCCAGAGGTGACTTTCCTGTCCTCCTTCTCTGGGGCAGAATCATTACTCCTTTTCGTCTCAAGTTTACTTTCTAAGTATTATCCTCTGTAGACCTATTAACAATAGTTTCTCACAGGTCAAGTTTTTAGACCTTTAATGGCTTGATGGTCACTTTTGAATTTGTCTCCAGGCAATCAATGGCTTGCTTAAAATAGTATGCTCATTTCAGTACTTATTTGAATGACAATTTCATTTTAAAAGTTCCAAATTATATTCCTGTTTAAATATCTAAGTGGGATAGATAGCTCTTTTCTGCAATAACATGCTTGTTAACTCCAGCAAGCTTGAAGTTATTATCTACTATAATTCTACTCCTCTGAACTGCTGCGTGACCAGTCATTATCATATAGCATTTGTACATCTGCTTATTCCTACACTTCCCAGGTTTTAATTTCCTTTATACATTTTCCTTGTTATCTCATTTATTGCAAACCTGTATTTTTTTCTTTCAGACAAGCAAAAGCCATGTATTCCTGTAAGGCTGAGCATAGTCATGAGCTGTCTTTCCCACAGGGGGCAATATTTTCCAATGGTAAGATTTGTTCTACATTGCCTTATATATTAAAAAAGAACCTATAAAAAACTGAACCATATCACAAAATGGGGGCGTAATTTCCTTTTTAGCTCTCAAGTTCTGCCCTGATTTTTCAATTGCTCTTGAATAAATGCCATCTCAATAAATATATGTATCATGTATGGGATTTTCAACAGTGTTAAAAGTTATGTACATGTTTTTTTGCAGTGTATCCATCAGTGGAACCAGGCTGGTTAAAGGCAACTTATGAAGGCAAAACAGGACTAGTTCCTGAGAATTATGTTGTCTTCCTCTAGTACTCTTTAGTGGACAGCAATATCTTCATGGTATCCATGGTAACAAATAATAAGCACTATGATTTTTATCTGACACAGATATGGGATCAGCCCCTTAGCTGAGTGGTAGATTTCCTTCAGATGCTGCAGCTGCAGGTTACAGAGCTCCCTGCCAACGGAACAGAATGTGATGAAACAGTTAACAGTTTCTGTGCTGAGGATGGTACTCTGTTTAAATAACTTCCATTGTTTGCAAAAGGTTGTTCTGTTCTTCTTTTATGAGTAAGGAACTAGAGCAATAAAATAATAAAAAAATTGCTATTTAGCTGCAGACTTTCAGGTCCAAGGATGTTGTTCACAGAAATGTGAAATTTAGAGGCAGTGCACTCTATGACATTTCTTGTAATCTATGATTTTTAATATGGAAAATTGTGGACTTTTTCGTAATGTAAGTACTCCTTCTATTGTGATCTGAATTCTCCCTTAGAAAACTTGATTCTAAAATTGATCCTCATCATTTCACATAAGAAATTACTTTGCTGTAAATCAGAAGTTGGGACTTCTGTTAGTCATTGAGTTACAATATGGTATAGAATTTGTACAGCTGATATCAGTTTATACACTGCCTGCACAGTGAATGCTCATTCAAAATGTGATATGTTTAATGAATGTTTCATTCAAATACTTAGTAGATTTCTTTCCTGCTTTCTGTATTAGCAGAGATAATATTAACAACTTTGATTTCTATGATAACCATCATCTGGAAGATATTCTCTCTGTGTCCCAGAACATCTGTAGAAAACAAGGAGATTCTGAATCTGGACTGATTGGTAGTCATGTGAAGTGAGCAGTGAAAAACAGCAGTGTGTTTTGAAACCTGAGATAAATCATAACTCATTCTTTTTCCATTGCAAGTAAGACAAATAACCTGTGAACTAGCCAATTTTATAAGCTATGAATGCTAAAAGCTCCATGTAGCAATAAAACTACTTAGTGTTATTTCTCCTGACTTCTGCTAAAATATTTGACAAAGATTCTCTCCTTACTTTTCAAAGGTGTTGAAAAGACCTATTGATTGCTCCTGGTAGGACTGAAAAGGAAAAATAAATAAATATATAAAACCAAGTCAAAGAAAACCCCAGAAACCATAAGTAGCTTTCTCAATCTGAGCAGTTTTCTTACACACCTTGAGGGAAAACATGCACTGCTTACTTGGCTACTTACCATTCCTGACTGAAAACTGAGACATCTAACCTCCATCTTAGTATTTCTTCAACACCAGTGCTTCCAAAAGAATTCACTGGCTCATAGAACTATATAGGCTTAGTTTCATAGATCTCTCAAAGCTCAGTTCTTTCTTCAGTAGCAGAAATCAACATATAAATCATCTGTTGATTTCTAACTTGTACACTGCTTGAAGGAAGAGCTGCTGTTGGGGCTAAAAACATCAGTAATTTTTTACCTGCTGCTTTTTTCTTTCCATAGCCTTTTTCTAAATTGAAAAGTAAGATTGATTGCCAACACAAAGTAGCACATCAGAACTTTCTTTACTTATATATAGTGCATGAATTCTTCAGAGCAATTGCTGGATTTCAGGCTGGTGTCAGAATCCTGCAGGATCTTTCTCCTCACTAATTCAATTATTGAGTGATGATCTGAGAAAAAGAGAGGCTCAAAGAACATCCTTCCAAATATTTTTTTTTCATAGGGGAGGTCTGAGCAAGACTGGCTGCAGGCAGCTGAGGACAGAACTTATGCATTAGTGACTGAGTGACCTGGGTTCTTTCTTCACCCTAAACAGTTTTATTAATCCCAAATTGTGATGAAGGGTTGTTCCAGATGGCACTGGCAGTGAAGACAGACATGTGTGTGCTCATCTAATTTGCTCAGGGCAGATGTGAAAGGAAGTGAAGGTCTTTCCTCAGCCAGTTGAATCTTTCTTCATTTTAAGGCAAGCCAAGTTTTCTTAGTCTAAGCTATGCCTGAGACTGCCATTGCTCTGAGAAGACCAACATGGTTTTGGTTGTGTTTTTGCTGTATTTCACAATCAAAAAACTGTAGGCTGCCAAAAGGATTGCCTCTAGTGACCTTCCTTCCCAGGAAAAGTGCTGCTGCAGGCCAAAAGGAGCAGAAAGCAGAGGCTGGGAGCCCAGCACATCTCACACAGGCAGAAAAATGCAGTGGTCAGGGGAAAAAAATCCTAGCTTGTGTCTCTTGCATGGGGGTCAGTAGCAAACCTGTATTGCACATCCTTTGATGACTCCTCATACTTCTTAAGGGCAATTTAATTGTTGTGGAATTCTTGAGGAATTGTGAAAGAGAAAATGTAAAAAATGTTTGCTCTTACTTGCTTTGTTCTAGCCTGATTTAAAAATAAGTGGGAAAAAAACCCCTAAGCTTAGGTAATTTCACATCCCCTGTATGTGTCTCACAATTCTGCAGTACTGTGTTTTGAAAGCAGCTGATCTGAGTGCAAGCTAGAGAAGTCAAAGATGCCAAGTTCATTAAAAATTTTGTAAAACTGCCAAGTTCAGTTACAGATTAAGCAAGTAGAGCCTGTGAGGGCTGAGGGGAAGGTTGTAGAAAAATCTGGAGGCATCTCTGTGGAGGAGAGGTGTTTCATGTGTTCCCACGCATTTGTCTCACATTAGACCGAAATTAGGATTGGAGAAGACCATAAGAAACTGGATTCCATTCATGCTGCTCACAAAACAAATCTGTGTTTTCCTCTCTAATGCTCTGCAGCTTTGTCAGGCCCTTCTCCTGAACTAGCCATAAATAATCTTTAAGTTATTTAGCTTTAAAATGGCATTTCAATCTGAAAAAGGTTATGCCCATTCTTACTTACATGTAGCCACTCACTCTTCAGGAGCAGGGGTTTTCATTTTTGGAACTCTATGGTTTTTCCTGTACTCTCCTCTGCAGCAGGTAGTAGCACTTTCTGTATGATCTCACTGCTGGGTTGTGGGTGCCCCAGCCCATCCCTGCCTTTAAGGAGGGAGTTTGTCTCTACAAGAAGCTGAACAGTGAACCAGAAAGCTGAGTAAGCAGGGATGCAAAGACTGAAGTGGGGTAGGGGGCAGCACCAAAGCTTGTCTAATGATGATACTCTCAGGCCTGACCAAAAATCTTTTCTGACAATAGCAAAGAATCAGAAATCCATATAACATTTAATGGAGATAGAGTATTTTGATAATGCCTTACTGAAAAATTAGGCAATCTGAATTAAATTAGCTCATAATAGTGATTTACTATTCTTCATGGAAATCAGACTCACTCTATAAGCAAAGGTTAAACACTTTTTAAAATTATTATTATTATTATTATTATTTTTATTATTACTATCCTTCCTAAAAGGATGCAGCAGGTTTGTTCCAAATATCACTGTAGAACTCAAGGTAGATGATACATTGTTGTTGTTGTTGTTTGTCTTGTAGAAATAATGTCTATACCCACAACATATAATTAGCCATGTTTTTCTTTGTTAAACTTTTTGATACATGTTGCAGCACAACATGAATCAAATTAATAGTGTGAAGGATATATTGTATGATAGATATGTAAAGTATATTAATATTCTATATTCACACCTTTTGTTAATGATGATAAAGATTACATTTTTTGTGTGTAATTTCTTTGAGTTCAGTATTAAAATGTCCTTGCCATATTTTGGCATTTAGAGTTATATGTAACAAAACTGTTAAATTAAACCATCTTTATCACTTATGTCCCTAACTAATCTATAATGTTCATTGTACAATTATTTCTGGAAAAGAAAGATGCACAGATTTGCTGACCAGCATTATTCTATGATAGTAATAGTAACTTATTTTCCTTTTATATATTTTCTGGTGCTAATCTCTATTCTTTGCCTGTAATTGGATTGAATTGTAATGTGCCTTTAGTAACGACATGTTAGGAGAGGAAGAGCTGTAAAACTCTGCAGTTCAGAACAGTAATTACAAAAAAAAAAAAGGCACTGAATGGTAGTAATTGGATTTTTTTGTTGTTGTTGTTAACTTTTCTCCCCTGGACTATTTTCTACTTAATAAGATTGCATCAGAATAAATAATGAAACTAAAAAGCACATTGTTCTTGCTATTTCTTTTCTTAAGGCAGAAGGCTGTGCAATTTTGGCTTGGGCGGCAAGAAGAGAAATCCCAGTTGGGGAACATGTCCTCCAGACTGGGATGGATCTTCTCCACTGATGGAAACTCTCAAAGTTCTAGTGAAGTCAAAGACAGACCTTTGGCAATTTATACTGAAGGTTTGCTGGCCAGAAGCCTCTAGAAATATTCTGCTAACGTGGTAATCTATGATCCAGTTTGGTGTTGTCCTTTCCTTCAGCAGAGAGGCCTGGATGAATTGTTCAGTGGTCAGAGATCAAAGCCCTAGGCAACCTTAGTCCCTCTCTGCCTGGTCACAGGGCCCTGAAGATGGTGCTGCTGCTGCAGCCCGTGCAGCTCCTGCTCCTGATTAAGTCCATTGTCAGTCAGGCTGTGTCTGTACCCATTGGGAGCTCTCTTCTTTTTTTTGTTTAAGATTTTGCATAGGCTTTGGGAGTTCGCTTTGGTTTATTTTAGTAACGTGCTTGGTATCCTAATTCAGTCACTGAGGATCATATCTGTTCTTTAATTGTCCTCTGTGTGGCAGTGTTTAATAAGCCATCAGATTATTCTTGTTGTTTTAAGTGTAGAGCACAGTGCTCCAACCCTTGAACATCTCAGCTGAAAGCTGCTTGGCCTCTGAGCTTTCTGCAAGTGTTTTATTGGGAATTGTCATCAAAGCTCTGGCACTAAAGACAGCACCATTATCTCTGCAAGAGTTCCTGTTGGAGCAGAGGGCAGAACAGCTGAACAGGGCACATGGATAGTTTCCATTTTCAATCATATTTATGGCAATTTTGGAGGTATTAGAGTTTATAGGGGTTACTTTAGATACTATATGGTATTTTAATAGGAAAATATATACAATCAATAACTATATATATTTAATAAAGTCCTACTAAATTATCTTATTGAACTCTCTGTTTATTTTGTAGTGTGGTTTCAATAATTATCTGCACTCTGTATATATCTACATGTAAATAACTAGCATGACATGCATAAGCTGACTTTGCAGACATAATTCTATATTGTAGTTTGAAATACACTGTATTTCAAAAATTTGAAAAAATGTTTTTTCAAAATAAAAATCCTTTATACACAAACTGGTTTTTTATTTGTTTTAAATTTGGGCTCTGGTTCAGCTTTTTCTTTTTTCCAAATAAGAACACTTTGGTTCTACTTCTATCCATACCCGTATTTTAGGGTAACATTTCAGCCCTGAGGATGCTTTACGTAGATGGGCATGTGAATACCAGACAATAGTCTGTCATGCACTGTCCTGATCATGTGGAAGTCTCCAAAGATGTGGCTTTTGAGGAAAAGAAAATTACAGCTTTGGATGTTAGGTAGCAAGAAGCGGAGCCATGGCTTGGCAGAATCTCGCTGATGAGGTCTTTGCCTCTGGAATTCAGCAGGTGGATGGCCTCAAGGGAGGGCCTTCCATGGCTCCATTCCATCATCATCATGGCTCCATCAAACCAGCCAGCTGATAAACTCTTCCCTGTTCACTGTGCTTGGGCTTGGTCAGTGCAGAAAACTGCAGCAGACCAAGGAGGATGGATACTGCTCCTGCATCCATGGCTGCCAGCTGCCAGCTCCTGCCCTGGCACGCTCAGGCTGCCGTGCCTCCTGCCTGCCAGCCTCCTTCTGTGTGGGCACTGTGCCCACAGCTGTGCCCAGAGACAGACAGGAACAAACACCAGTGCCGTGGCTGTAAGAAAAATGAGACTTTTGAGAAGCCAAGCAGCATGGACCAGATGGAAAAAGAGTCTTTCCCTTCCGATGCTTTCTAACAACTGCTCCGAGGTGAAGCCTGTAATTCATAGCTCTCCCTGCTTGAGGTTTGAGAGATGTGGACTCTGCTTTCAGGAATCAAAACATCACCTGCAGCCTGCAGTCACCAAACCGTTGCACCTTGCTGAGATCCTGGTATCCCTGGCACGATGGGGCCAGGGAGAAGGCAAGGTTCCCCTTGTGACCAAGGGATGCAGTTGAGCTGGCAAAGCCCCTTTTGGCTGTATTAGTTCAGCTGGAAAAGCCTGAGAAGTAGAGGGGCTGCAGCAAGGGGTTAGAGCTGAGCTGAGGCTTTGTGCCCTGACTTCAGGTGTAGAGAACTGCCCCTGAGGTGTGGTGTGGAACAATAGCAATGGAAGCTATCACCCTGCAACACTCCTGGGTGCCAGGGGGCTTTTGGGAAGAAAGGAAGAGCAAGGACAGATGGCCTGAGGCATCTGCCCTTCCCTGCTGCTCTTTGTGCCTGGTGAGCTGTGCTGTGCCTATGCCTGTATCAGCACTTGGGACCAGCACTTGGATTCTCCTCCACTCCTGCTGGGGCCCATGAAAGCAGGAGTGTTAGGCGCTGGAAATGCCACAGGTGCCCAGCTCTTCACTGTGTAGGCACAAGAGGAAATGGAGAGTATCTGCATTTTGATAGTTCGTCAAAAATGACAGTTCATTACTGATTTTATGTTAAAAATCTGAAAAAAAAGGGCTGTGTTTCCTGTTAGAGTTTTCTGCTCTTTTCCACAGGAATGAAAGCTTCTTGGCTTTACAGCCCCTGATCTGCAGCAGTGAGTGAATGAACACTACTTTGGAGTATAGACTAAGCTCTAAAGTAGTTCTCATACTCATTTTCACAATGTCCCATTTTACTTGGCATCAGGGAATAACTACAATTTTAATTATTTCTGGGAAACCTGTGTTCTGTCTGGCATGTTATATTTTGACATTTCATTGAACATTTAAATGTAAAAAGACTTAAATTGCTGTTTAATCAACAGAACTGTGTTGAATTACCACATTAACACCCAATTTAAAACTCTCAAGGGGTGAGACATCTCTGCTTCTTACCAGAAAGGATGAAGACATCTCATTACTTGGTTGCATTAAAGCACCTTACAGGGAATGATCCTCATGTGTTTGGAAAAATTAGTATTTTTGGCTTTATTATTGATTAGGTTTCACTGTCAGCTATGGAGAAAGTGATGTGTGGAATTGCTTTGGCCACAGCTGGGCACAGCTTCCTGCCTCAAGAGGAGAAACCTCAGTGATCCAAGGAAACAGCACAGGTGTAAACTGAGCAGATGGCAAAGTCAGTTCAGGTCCTGGTTCGGAACATTTTCTCATTAGTTTGGCATGATGCATTCCTTCAAAACCAACCTTTCTAACACAAACACTGCTTATTAAACATGGTAAATAAGGTATCTGCACTTTCATCTTTTAAAATTTTATTTCATGTTTGTAAAACTTTTCCCGTGTCATTTGGATTAATTGCTGATACAGAAACAAAGTACTGAAAGATATTCTTGGCTTCTTTTGCAATGCTTGGCTTCTTTTCTATTGTATTTATGGCAACAAGCTCAAAAGCTGAACTAACCTGGAGCAAGTGCCTTTGCCAAAGATCATGGTGTGCTTTTTTAATGTAAACATGCAGGGATTCATGGGAACATTGAGTGACCTCCACAGCCGGTACAGAAAGGAGTCTTAATTCACTTGAAAGTACTTTGGTAATTGGAATACATCTTTCTGCCAGTATAATTGAGGAACTGATTAGTTAGACCCAGCAAGGGTGTATTTCATTTAAAATTACTGTTAATGGCTCTTGGGTGCCCTTAGAAGGGATCAGAGTCCCATCTGAATGAAAAACATCCACGATTTAGTTTTGTTGGTGGTCATTGCTTTTGTATTCCTACGAAAAACCCCACACATGCAAAGGGAAACATGTAGCACATCTGGGTTTGGGGTGTTTTCAAAACAAGGTTTGCAGTGCTGTGCTTCGGCTACGGCAGCAGGTGGGAGGGCTGAGAGGGTGGGGGCTCAGCCCTGGGTGGGCTTGGGACAGGGTGGGGTGTGGAAGGTGCCCAACTTGTCACAGCACAGCAGAGCTCGGGGCAGAAGCAATGGGCTCCAGCCAAGCTCGTTTGGGGTCTCCATGTTACAGAGATGACCAAACACTCAGGGCAGCCCTGGGGAAACATCGGCACAGTGCACCAGCAGCTGAGACAGCTGCACACTGGGAAGCCTCGTGAGAAGCCTTTCAGAGGACAATTCCCAAACCCAGGCAGAAGGGGGATAAGAAACCTGAGCTTGATCATTTTTGTGGAGTGTTCCTCCAAATAAATTACCTGGTATACAGGATACAACTGGTTCCTAGAACAGAGCACGTGCTGTTTGCAGGAGCCTCACAAGAAGGTAACAAGGGTTAGGGTTTCAGTGCACCTGAGCTGGGAGGCTGAGCACAAAGTGCTGGAAGCAGAGACTGTGTAAGCAGTGACAACTGTGAACCCTGAATTACCACAAAACAAGCAGGATGCCTCTCAGCAGGAAAAATGCACTAGAAGAAAAGACAAAAACCATACTGGGGGTCCCTGGTGCACCCTCCAGGGACATCTAAAGGAATCAGGTAGATAGTAGAGACCTCAGAGATATTTAGGTGCAAACAAATTCTGCTGGGCAGCTGTGATGCAAATATATCCTTAAATAAAACCTCATCTTAAATTGTCTTTTAAGTTTGTTATTTCCTGCTGTTGCTGTTGCTGAGGGATGCTTTTTTTTGGTCCTGTGAAGGGCTGTTTCTTTTCTGTAATTAGGACAAATTCCCTGCCTTTGATGGGAAAAATGGCCATTCTGCACAATGTCCTTTTCCCCAGACCTTCCCTGAGAAACCTGCAGTGAATGCCACAGGAGTGTGTCACTGTCTTCCAGCTGTGATTTGTAACATTTCCAGATGGGCCCTTCTCCCTACCCTCCCCATCCCCCTGAAGTTCAGACAATACAAAACAAACCAGCACAATTATTTTTATCCTCAGAGCAACACAGAATCATCTGCCCCTGCCAAACCCTTGCCTTAATATTTTTTCCTCATCTTTGTTCAAATGATGCCTTGAAATATTTCCTAAATTAACTGGGAAACCAAATGTAAGCATGATCATAATATCTGTAAGCACATTAGCATGAGAAACTCAGGTGAATATTGTGG